ATCATTATAAAAAAAATTCTGTGTTCTTTGACTGGAGTATGTTATCCTCACTGACACCCCAAGACTTCTTAGCATTAACTTTGGTGCAATGCTATCAACTGTGTATTTCAAACAATTTTATTTATCCCAGGTCTGCACAAAAAAAATACTTAAGAGGACAATCTCTGCTCTAAAGTCAGCCATTATCACTCACTTATAAAGTGTAAGAGGTTCCAGTCATATATCGTATGCAGCAAAACTCAAACATGCTATCTGCAGTTCACATGTTCATCATCTTAGTCCACAAAATTATTATTATTATTATTATTATTATTATTATTACTCTCCCGCGTCAAAACAGTCTTTCAGCAAACTGCAGCTGCTTCACTTTGTGTATAAGCATTCATACAAAAGAAGTACATTAAAGAAAAAGTCTAACAGTTTATACAAATGCTATATGTTTTTTGCTTTTATATTTATAAGCCATAATAAGTGCCACTTTACAATAAGGCTACCCATATAAAGGGTTTATGAATGGTTTATAATCTGGTTATTAATTACGTTGTAACACTTTGTAAATTATTAATAGGCCATTTTAAACAAGTTATAACACAGTTTTCTTTTTATTAATGAGTTACTACCATTTACAAGTGACAAAAGGGAGCCTTATTGTAAAGTGGGACCCCATAATATTTAATGAGTAACAATATCTCATTTCACTCTGTCACCTTTGTCACCAGCCATGCAGCCGGGCCCTTGCCCTGGCCCACCTGCACTACCAGATGGCAAAGCCCCCCAGCCCCTCTCTCCACCTGTCTGTAAGATGGATAACTAATAGCTTCTTATTTAATGCTTTGTTAATCTGCTTACACATACTCCATGATCTATAATACCCATAAGTCACTGTGAATAAATGCAACATTGCCATGTGTTTTTTTTTTTTTTTTACCTCAGACTATTGCAGTATTTTATAACAGTATTTTAGTGCTGTGTCTCAAAACATCTCATATTTGATTGGAACATAATTGTCTTGCACTTTGGTAAAATTCATTGCTTTTGTACTTGCAAGGAACAGGTCAATCTATTCCTCCCAGGTGTGTGATATTTATGATGGCTTTGACGGAACCTTTGAGCACGACCGGCTGATTTAATGAAATGGCATTTACAGTGCATTTCTTGTCACCGTATGTGACCGGACGCTTAGAGACCCTGCCGGGGAAATGCTGTACCACACCGCTGACTGTGTGTCTCAGTGAAGGCTATGGGACAGTAAAGATTTAATGGCAATTTCAGCATTACTGGTGGAGTCTGAACTTGACAGCCTCTATGTGCCGTATCTTTCCCTTGAGCTATTTGTGCCGTGGTCAATAATCTTTAAAGAAAGGCGGTACGGCACAGAAGTGATCAGTAGTAGGGGGGGAATGGGGGGAAATAACATCTTAAAGCAAGAACAGAAACATTTTATATAAGAAAAACTAGGTTTATGTTATAGATACTGGGACCACATGTTGTCACACCCTAACACACCACAACAAGCATTGGCTGGACATCCAGGTGAATTATGGGTCAGTGACTAACGACATCAGTTTTATTTTCCAGATCAGATATTGTCCAAAATGGCTCTTAAATGCAGTCTTGAATGTGACCTCTTTATTTAAAATTCCATTCAATGTCGTTGAAAAGTGAGTGGGGTGAAAGATACGTCCTCCTTCCGCAGGCACTTTCACTGTTTTTGGTGTCTGGTGTATGCACCTTTGTGACGTAGTGCTACTTTGACGGTTTCACTCTTGTACCTGCAGAAGCGCACTGCGCGTCAGTACAGGCTTCTCGTGTGAGCTTGCTGCCCCCGCAGACTGTCAAAATCTCCGAGTCCTGAATAATTCTTTTCTTCCTCATTTTTTTATACGCTGGGCAAATTATAGAAGGCAACATGTGTCAGAGAAACGTACCAATGATGTCACTGGCAGATAGCGGGCAAATAAACTGTTGCAAAAGTAGAAAAAATCCTTTGATGAAGCAAGCAGACCATAATAAGTTAAAGGCTCCATCAGGACTGTCAGCACTGCAGTGGCTTATTGCTTCTGCTTGGCGAATAAAGATTTCCCCCCTCCTGTTCTGATTTTTTTTTACAGATGAAGTGGAAATTTGCCCCTGGACTTCAACTCCCCCTCCCAGCCTCATATGCTGTGCTTCGTAATAAATGCATAATGACCCTTCATCAGTGCTGCAGTGTCCCAGTCTACAAGCAGGAAGTATCCCCTCTCGAGCCAGGCATTGTTAGTCGCTAGAAGACGCATCTAGTGATTCCTATGAAGACAATCAAAACAAGCGACTCTCGAATCATTAAATCATTTTGTGCACTTGCAACAAAGCAGGCACACAGCACATAAATTCTTAGGATAATATGTGATACTGTCAAATTAAATATGAAATATGAAAAATGTAATCCAAATGCATAAACAATCAAGCCGTGCTGATGAACCCATATAAGCATAAAAAGATAACAAGAAGCCTCATTATGGTCTATGGTCAGAAAGCTGTCATTAATGACTTTGTGGTTTACTATTATGGTATGGGGTGTTGAACGATCAACCCATCAATCCACTAAGAACACCGGCTGGTATTGTGATTGTAAGAATCTGCTAAGCAAACAAATGTGGGTGTTAAATCAGAAATGTAGCTAGTTTAAAGCAGAAGAAGAGAAGCACCCCGTCACTGTGGCAGACCCATTACTGGCTAAGGAATTGGAACGCATTTTCTCTCAACAAGCACCACAATGAAAACAGGCCTGGAAAACAGGTTCCCGTGCAGTGATTTTCTGAGGGGAACTCTTCATGGCCACAAAAAGTTAATACAGCCTTATAGTTACTTGTAGGAAACATAAGAACATTCCAGAGCTGTAGGATCAGGGAAATGTTGAGATGACAGTAACAGCTTATGGGAGTTTTACTTACACAAAAATGTTCTGGGGGCAGCACGGAAAATGATTGGTTCAGAGAGATAACCAATCATATTGTAGAGGAGGTGAGTCCAAGCAACTAGGGGAGGAGAGACATATCTCTTTAATCTGATCAGTTATCTCTTTGAATCAATCATTTTCAGAACATTTTTGTAAAACTGCCATGAGCACAGTAACTGTCATGCCTGTGCCACGCCTCCTCATTAATCCCATGTGGATTCCCCGTGTTTACCAGCTGTTCCCGATCGTTGTCAATTAGTCCATTGTATTTAGTCCGCGTTTCCGTTTGTTTCCCCAGTCCGGTCATTGTAATGTCAGCCTGTGTGTGTGTGTTGCCTGATCCTGTCGTTGCTGCCTCTATTAAAACCCTGTGTTTGCCCCGACTTTTGGCATCCTGCGTCTTACTACGCTTCCTGCGTAACAGTATATACACTTATGGCAGAATGCATAGATCAATAAAATACATTAACTTGTTTCAGCAAGACAACAGTCAGTCTTGGTCATTCCCATTGTCTCATTTCACATTTATCAATTTCATTGGCACTTTGTTTTGAATTTTACCCTGCCTTGTACCCTGTGCATCATGGGATAGGCATCAGGCTTACTGTGACCCGGCATTGTATTGGACCTTGTGTAAAATAATGGATGGCATCGCCTCCGACAGGGGACCAAGCTCAATGCAGCTTAATACCCCCACAGTCCCCTAGATCAGGGATTCCCAGTCCGGTCCTCGGGAACCCATAGACAGTTCACATTTTTGCTCCCTCCCACCTCTCAAGGGAGCCAAAATATGGACTGACTGGGGGTCCCTGAGGACCGAATTGGGAAACACTGTCCTGGATCATGGGCTGTGTTATCAACAGTTAACAGTTTTTGAAGCTCCAGGAATGTGAGTCATTCTAAATGATGGAGTCGGTGCTGGATTTCTGGTATGACTAGGAGCCCCTGAGACCAGTCACCATCACCATCCAGAGGGAGAAAGTGTAGGTGGTGCAGTCCAATCAGTACCTAGAGGTCCACTTAACAGGACAACATGAACAGACATCATACATTACACAACTATGTAACTGTGTACTTTATCTCTATTTGCTTCTTAAGTGAATTTCCTCTTCGGCTCAATAAAATATATATATCTATCCATCTAACTAACTTCAGTGAAGAAATACTGAACAGCCTCCCAAAAAGATTGCTTAGTCACTCCCGATGAACTGTGATTGGGAGAGCATGTTTTCATCCAAACCCAGGAAATTAATTGTGTAACATAAAATGTATATTTCTGACAGTAGAGGCATGATGTTTAAGACATCAGTAGGATTATCAGAGGCCACAGTACAGTACAGAACAGTACAGTGTGATTAAATGCCCTTTCAGCATTTAATCACTCCACAGAGCTGCTCATCTGGAAATTATTTATATGTTCTTCATGTAGCTGGCAAACATATCCAGAGTGATGAACTGTATGTGGCCATAAATGGGAAAACTGTAAACATTACATATTAACAAATAAACATTGGCATTGTTCATGTAGGAAATGTACTGTAGTAGTATATAGTAACCAAAGAAGTGTTGTATGTTGAAGAAGAATGAGAATTCTGCAGGTTATACCAAAGATTATAGTTCTAACATCTACAGATCACTTCTAAACCACCACAAATCATAAAAATTAGTTTTTCTGAATCTTATATAAAATGGTGTTACATGGGCATGTTAGTTTGTTGTAATTTAACTGCCTAGATAGCATGTTGTATTTTTTTGTTAAATTATACTTTTAAATTGGAAATATTTTTTTTTTCCACAGACATGTACTGTATACTCCAAATATTTGAAATAAATGTAAATGACAGAGTACTAATAAATGAAATTATAGCCCATAGAGGACTAAGTTAGATAGGGGTTATAGTCATAGAATAATTACTGAGTGAGAGTATTACACAAGATTAATATAACATAGGGAGGTTATGATCCATCTATAAGACAGAGCGCCAGTGCCAATGTGGGTGCCATAACACTTTTTTTCCAGATATTATTTATTAACTACCCTGGTTATATATTTTTATTGAACACTTACTATTCAGAATCCCACAGATCAGTAAAGCAACAAAACACAGTAAGAAATCATGCTGTCTGGCCCTCAGGGACAAAAAAAGATGAGGGAAAAACAACACAGACTCACATTTAAAATTCCCAGCTTGGCAATCAATTCTCCATCATTTAGTCTGAGTGACCCCTGCGGATGTGGCAGCTGCTTGAGATTTGCGAAAGGCGTTCGGTGCAGACGCCGTAGAATAACAATAGGTGCTTTCACACCAAAGGAACTGCATATTCCAGAACCTGGTCTCGACCTGGAACGTTTGTAGCTCCTGGCCACCACACAACAGGAACTAGGACCTTTATGCTAAATAAGCACGGGAGATGCAAAAAGTTCGTAGGTTAAACCTCACACATGATTCCATACGAAACTACACCTCTGCACCAAAACAACGGAGGATAAGTCGTTTCGTTAGTTATTTCTTTTGTTATTGGGGGGATCGATCATGATTAAAACGGAACACAGCCTTTTATTTATATTTTACTTATATGACCCGCGATATGATTCTTATTAAAACTGGCCAGCAGATCAATCTTTAGCTTTCCTCAGAATAAAAGGTTAAAGTATATTGGTTAGCGAAAAAATTTTCTGATCCAGAAAAAAGTTTGTTAGTTGATGCATTAAATGTAATTGGCGTACGAAAAAATAATACCATCTGCTCAATTTCTCTTTTTATGCGCTTCCACGTAACTTCCAAGTTAGAGCTGGTGCTTGTGGTCAACCAATCAGCAACCTGTCACTGTAACACCTCCCCAATAGTTTGTGTTTGAACGAAAAGCTCCTAGAGTGTTTCTCAATATGTGTACTTGACCGTCCTTGAGTTCTCATGTACCCATTTTATGTCATCTTCCATTGCCAAAGAGCAGATCCAATGCTCAAGAACAGAAGCACAGAGGATGGTAAAAATTCCTGGATGTCGTTCTTTCCCCACACCAAATATCAAGGATACATCTGTTGCAAACTGGCCAAGCAAGACCAATCCCATGATTCATTGCACCCCAAGTTCATTCTTGGGAGTCAAGTTAGCAAGACCGGTCTTGCCAAGACCACAAGTACGATCTTTGTGTTCTTGGTATTGAGAAACACTCATAGTCTGGAGTAGGTACTAAAAAAGGGTTCCAGAACTGCCTCAGAGGAACTACAATTGGGCCGAGTTCCTGTGGTGTGAACAAGACAAGAGTTCCTGGTTCTGGAAAAAGGTTCTGGTTCCAGAAAAAAAGTTCCTGTGGTGTGAAACCGCCTAATACCACTGGGTTGTTTGTCCTGTCAGCAGCACACAATCACACTGGCACCCAGGTCACAAACAAATGGAAGGCAAATGTCCATGAAACATCTGAAAATTTGGGAATCGCACATTGCAATGATAAGCCCACTTAATTCATTAGTTATGTTTGGAATTGGGGTCACAGCAGTCAACATCTCTGTCAAAGTAATCATTAGCAGCAGAAATTATTGGGCTGTGGCCATATTTGATTTATGATCAAAACACAAAAAAAAATAACAGGTTGATGGCTATTCTGTGCTGTCAAGCTGCTTGAATGCACAGAGGTGTTGGCTGAGGATTGAAGAGGTCTCCCTGGCTGCGTGGAGCTGCTTCTCACACCAGGAGGTCAGGCATTGCTGGAAGACCTCCACACGCACCCTGTGGAGCTTCTGTATCTGAAAGTCACAATACAGCAGTTTGGGAAATGGTCAATATCAATAATAATCTTAATAGACAATGACCTTTAGGGAACTTGTTTGTTTATGAATCATGGTATCTACTTTAAGTTTTAGCCTAATTGGGATTAATTAAGTAGGTACAGTATAGAATATGGATGGATGGATGGATGGATGTGATTGTCAGTCACCTACCTCTAGTCTGGCAATATCAGAAATGTGTCTGAATTCTTTTTCGCTAGCTTTCTTGATTTCCTCCATCTAAAATCGCAATAAGACAGTAACAAAAAAAAACTGACACTGCAGACATTCTTTATTCCGGGAATCATGTATCATACTTCTAAAAAGATTTGTCTGCTAGTATCATGCACTAAATTGTCTACTCCGGATATGGAGGATACTGCTGACCCCTACTGGTCAAAATAGAAGCCATAGCATGTAAGTTACATTACACTCATTGGAAGAATATGGTCCTATTTTTCTGAGATGAATTATGCATGAATAACTTTAGTGCAGCATTGTATTTTTCAAGTTAAAGTGGCCAATGAAGAGCAGAGCACTTAAAAATTAACCATTTTGCATAGCCCTTAGCATGAATGTTAGCATTACACACTGTGCAGTAGGTTCAATTTGGAAGATTTGCCTACAGGCATGAGAAAAAAAAAAGATTAATTTGGAGAACACAAAGGAGCTAGCAAAATTAATTATGAGAAAACCAAATGAAGTTATTTAAGTGGTGGAAGAAGGTTCTTTTCAAATACGTGCATCCACTTACATTTGCTTTCTTAGCTGGTTTGGCTTTCTCCAGGTTTTTACTGTTCTGTTCTAACTCGACTAGCTTACAGGTCCTCCGAAACAGCATTTCCTGTGTGACAGCATAACAAAGCAATACTTCGAAAATGACCAATCAATAGTACCGATAAAGGAACACAGATCAATAACGCAATAAAACGCAAATCAAGCAATGGATTCCAATGGAATCCAACTGCATAAGTGGACAAGGTGCACGCAAAGGAGCGCCTCTGTAATCTCCATTTCATGTCATTATTTCCACTTGTTCTTTTGTCAGATTTTTGTGAGTCATTTTGTCAGTCATTTTTGAAATTAAACAAATCATTGTGTAGCTCTATTAACAGTATCTGGGATGTCTGAAGACAAGAGTCGAAGATGTGATCGTAAAATCCGGTGAGTGATGGCACAAGTGTTGGGTGGGCAAAGGTAGCGGATGCAGGTGAAAGGGTTTGACATCAGACGCTTCATCTCGCAAGGAGATCTGTCATTCTTCTGTTCTACAGTGACCATATTACACTTTCAGTAATTAGCAGCAGGATTAGCAGGATTATTTGACCAAATCGTCTGTATGTAGTATGCTTTAAGAATGTGGAAGGGTTAACCCTCCCTGAACTCAACCTCCATCCTGTCTTCCCTTCCAGTCAACCTTTCCTTTCCTTTCGTTACACCCCTCCTTCATGTAAAATCTCTTTCCCAATATTCCCATGCTATTCCATGCCCATGTCAGCTGGATCCCAAATGAATCACGTTTAGAGTCACATCTGTACTGTAGATGTGCTCTGCATGTCTATGGCTGCTGTTGTATGGTGCTCTATGATTAACATACATAGTGACAAGAATGAAGAAGCCTTTCACCTTTTCCGATTCTTCGTAACGTGAAACCAGGTCCAGCCCCAGGCCAAGTATGTTCAAGTTGTTTTCAGCAACACACTCAAAGTTTTTCTTTACAGAAGAGATTAAATTGTAATGAGTAGTTCGTTTGATTTATCAGAATCTTTATACAACTGAAGCGTTTTTACCTAGAACAAAATTCCTAATATTGTGCCCCAAACAAATCAATATAACAAAATATCATATAGTTCATATAATTTTTGTCATAAAACACAATGAGTTTATAAAATTAGATTTAACCCAGACAAGTAAACAAAGAAATAAATAATAAACACCTGTCACACAGTGTAAGCAATAAAATAGGTCAGATTATTAAAGAAAAAAAAAAACATTGTGTGTGACCTGGGGCGTAAAGTAATAGAAAAAGATGTTCAAATATGCAGTATCTTCAGCTTTAACACTGATTGGCCCGGAAAACTATGGTTATTATAATTTACGAATGTTTAATTTCCTTCCATGACCCATGGACGAAGTACTGCAACACAGTACAACTACATAATGGTCTGCTTATGCCTAATTGTTCAATTTATAGTCATATTCAAAGATGCTCTCTCTTACTACTGAGGCTCTCATCTTTATTCTAATTCATATCTCATTTCAGATTGCATTCAGTCTTTCAATCACTGAGGGGATGTACAGTAATATTGTTCAGTATTTCAATAACTTTGAAATTCACGGATTAATTTGGTTGATATCCTTCACACATCTGAACAAATCTAAACCAGAGACCTTCTAAAGCAGTGTGAAGCAGTCTTTTTTTTCCTTTTATTAAAAAATGTTCACTATTGTGGTGCCAAGTCAGCCGAAATTAATACTGAAAATGTTTTTTAAAGTAAATTTCATTATTATATATTCCTTCCTTATCTGAGATATATGTGAATGAGTTAAACCCAGTTTTAAATGGGTGTAACATCACAGGTAATATGTTGTCCCTGCACAGATTGTGCACAGTAATTAGTTTTCTCCAGCAGCCCAAATACATGTGGCTCAGTAAACTGGTGTCTCTAAATTGCACATAGTGTGCATTGTATGTGTGATGGATACCCTGTCATAGACTGTCAGAACATCCAGGTTTTCTCCTGCCTTTTGCCCTGAACTTCCTACGATGCTACACAGGTTGACTATGATCCTGTACTAGATAAGTGGTTATTTATGGATGGATGGTCGGATGAATGGATGGATGGATGGAACAAGTGTATTTTTGCTATATATAAGACACATTTGTTAGTTTTGAAGTAGACTAGTTAGTTTTGAAGTGGTTAGTTTTTTGCTCTGTAAACATGACCTTACCTTAACAATGATAATAATTTCAGACAGCTTCAGGGATAGTCTGGAAGAAAATATAAAAGCAGCCACAAAATCAAAATCATGCACGCTTCATAAGTTGACCAGTGGATAGACATGCCGAGTGCTACAGCTTCTAAAATTAAGTTGCTATTACTGAGAGAACTTAAAATGTTAAGATAAATGGAACAATTCTCCAAAATATGTTAATTTTCAAGTATCAAGCTTTCAGGTATAAACATAATCTTTAAAATCCTGCAAAGGACGTTTTAAAAATTCTATATATAGGTACTGTATCTTCACACTGCTATACTGGACACAGAATTAATGCATAGTCTTACTTTGAGAAGGTTTTGGCTGCTGGGTCTTCATCTGGCCCAACTCCAAGATGCAGAGTGGTTGAAAAATGTCCACAAGCAAGGGCAATGTCTACAGAAAGACAAGGGCAGCCAGACAATAAGCTTCAATTGTACTAAATATAAAACAAATCATGGAGGATACAGACATCTCACTTACTTTGCTGTGTCCTCACTACAGCAATGAGTCTCTACAGAAGAAGCGTGAAGGATGATTAGGATTTAGAGATAACAAGTAACCAACATGGACATCAAGGTCTCTTTTGAAATGAAGATCCTACTTCTGTTGTAGCTTTTGTTAATCGTACGAGAGATGAGTTGCTGGCCCTCTCATTTCGAAAGAATTCATCAACATCCTGCAGTAAAAAAAACAAATGTGAATGAATGGAAGGGCAAATGGAAGATGTAACCTTATTAAGCTACTATAGTTGTCTCTACTGTTACTTTTGCACTGCTCAGCTGAGGTGTATGATGGGTGAGAAGTTACAGCAGAGCTACCTGGTGATTTTCCTTCTTTATTTCTTCCAGAGCTTGGCTGAGGCGGTTAAGGATCCCTTTTCGCCCCGCCTGCCCACCAGGTCCCTAGCTCAGAAAAAGGCAGCACATCGGTGATTCACACCACAGAAACACAAATCAACATTCACTACAAAGGCTGACACACTGTACATTCAGTAAGGAGACAGAGGCGACACAGAGATGATAAAACACAGAAGCAGTACACAGCACTGATCCACTAGGATAACCATTTTATTAATCATTCTAGAACAGGGGTGGCCAATCTTATCTGCAAAGGGCCGGTGTGTATGCAGGTTTTCGCTGCAACTCCCTAATTAGATTACTAATTAGAGGACTGATTGGCTGAAGAGTCCTCACACCTGGGTTTGACCAGCTGACCTACAGGTTATCCCAAAAACCCGCATACACACCGGCCCTTTGCGGATAAGATTGGTCACCCTGTTCTAGAACATCACCCTGTACCGTGTGGAACGTGCCTTTATGAAAAGGTCAGAATCTTCATTGTCTTAAAAGTCTCACTTCTAAAACTATGACTTGATGATATGTGGGAGTAATAATGCACATTCATAAGGACAGCCGAAATAGAGAGTGACAACTAGCTCCTAGGTTGTCTCAGACATCCCAGAGCAGATACCGGATTTTCCTCAGCTAACACAATAATCACTTGCGAACATACAGTAGATGATTAATAAATCTTTGTGAAACTTTCTCTGCCTACTTTTATTTCAGTGGCAGTTTCTGTTTAAGTTACTATAAGACACCAAAAACATTTTTTATTTGTGCATAAATTTTGGATGAACAACCTTTCATGTAACTCCACCCACTTTAGATGTTATTCTCAAAGCCCTTCGACATTCAATCGCTGCGACTGCTTCTCCTGCCAGAGGAACAGGTTTATCTTTATTCCAAATGGGTGATGTGAGGAGGACAGCGTTCATCTCTTTGCTTTTTAGAAGAAGCTGGACATAAACCTGCGTGTGACTGAGGCAGCCGTCTTCGCCCACCTGAGTCTGTGTAAAGAAGCTCCGCAGGACCTGGTTCTTGCCCAGCGTGGTGTGAGACACCACTAGCTGCAGGTACATCTCCAAGGCCATGCAATAGGTTTTCCAGTCATCATCTAACCCCAGGAGGCCTGAAACACAGACTCATTGTGGGACTACTGGAGTTAATTCCAAAAATAGTTTGTCTTGCTTAGTACAGTAGTTACCAGAACCTACTGTAATCTCCTGGTCGATAGAGCCCCATTGGTATTAGTTAGTTAGACATCACACTACTGGAAAGGCAAGATTGCTAATTATGAAGACTGGACAATAAAGATATCCAGCTCATAATAATTACAGATGGTGCTTTTCTTAATTACTTAGACATTCCCTTAAATTAAAAAAGGAATAAATTGTTTTATTTCACACATACCAAGCTGTTTAATCATTTTTTCCTGCGTGTTTGACTGAAACGCACAAGGTTTTGCTGGCAAAGGTGGAAACTGTGAGGAGAAACATTATCAGATAAATCATAATTATTTATCATGGCACCACTGCTTGGCAACGCAAATGTCTGCCTACTCACATCCCTGTTAGCATGAAAGAGTAGCCTTCTATGGCCGTATTTGCCGGCCTCGTGTATAACACTTTTGTGGCGGTAACCTTTATTAAGGAATTCAATACCAAGTTGGCATCAGTGGCAAATCCCTCAGGACCTACAGAGGAGTGCGGACTTTATGTCAGTTACTCATAAGCTTTGAAGGATGACAAGAGGACTGACTATAATTCCTTGAAGCCCAGGAATGCCATCTGGCATTAGCAGACACTGCTGAAGCCACTCAAAATCCTCAAATTTCCTGTCCACGAAGTGCTGCTTCTTGCTGGGAAACTGCAAAGACGACAGCAACAGAAGCAGCCATTTTTACCAACACAGACGTAGTAGCTGCACAGCTAAAGGCAAACACGTGTAATGAAACCATTTTTACGCCACCAAATACTACTAGTCAATGGTTTTTGCACAACACAGGTTTTTACCACTGTTCCATTTATTTCATAAACTGCAATTTTTTAATTTTCGTTAAGCATTGGAAAGTTGAGGGAACAACTACAGTATAAATCAAAATATATGTCAAATAAAACAAGTTTCTTTTATGACATGGAAAGGGTATGTAACAGTGCATGTCTGACACCCTATTAACTGGTTTTGTAGTGATGGCATAGTCAAATTCTAGGCTTTAACAAATGCACCAGTTACCCGTTTCATCCCATGAAACAGAGCAGCATTTAATGTCCCTTGTAGAAACAGTGCCGCAAATTTTCTCTGCTATTCTAACTGCTAGAGGAGGTTACTTTGATGCATCAAAGATATGACATTTTCTTGCTAATGAAGGTACTCAAATGATGAACATACTGTAAATTTGTTAGCAAAGAATATTGAGTGTATTTTTACTGTTAAGTGAGTGACACGCAAATGTAGAAAATCTCTGTGTGCAAAAACTTTTGACTGGTAGTGTTGTTCTAAAGCCAAATACTCATTTAAATCAATAACGACTTGTACATTTGACAGAAACACAGAGGCTGGACTCATTTTAAAATTGTACATCTTACGCATACTTTGTAACGCCCCTTAAGGAAGACGCATCTTCTCGAAAAAGCAATGCAGGAACCAGAAGCTTTAAATTTCAAGGATATTTGCTGAAAATGTCATTACAACACAAAGCACATGTTGGCTTGTGAATTCACAGCACAGAAGAGTTCACATTCTAAGTTCCATTTTCTTACCTCTTGGGCTCCGACAACGAACACCAATGAATTTTCTTTTTTTATGGCTTCAGTCACTTTGATGCTGGAAACACTTAGATTAAAACCAGACACTGAAACTTCAGGCGCGTCGTCCTGCAACGAGCAATTTTCATAATTTTGGGGACATTTATTATTAAATTAGTTTGACAGCTGGGTCAAAGAATCAAAGTAAAGGAGCACTGATTTATGTACTACTGAGTATAAGAATATTGTAAATGCAAAGCCATCTGGCTAAAATGTGAAAAAGAATGAAGAACCAATGCCTTTATACGTTTGACACAAAACCATTTGGTCGAGAGTAAAAAACAAAAAGGACATAATCTACATACACAGATAGTAAGTATTCAGTTACTGGGTGCAAACTTTTTTAATCATTAAAAGAGCATTTTTTAAATTAAAATTTTAGCAGCCCCTGAAAAGCAAAGCAATCCAAATATGCATGTGGCCAATCGCGTATGCTGCAAAGAATATGCACATCAATAATACCTAAAACATCCATTTTCACCTTACCATCATTTCTGAAACACTGACCACCATATGCAGAAGTATTCCACACTGGGCTGTAACTTAAGGATTCCAGGATTTTAAAGGAAATTCATTGCAGCTTCTATCTCCTTATACAGACAAGCATAGAATTAAAAACTTCCTTTGGAACTAGTGCGGGAATTTTCTTTTCTTTGGTCAAAGTGCATGCTCATTCCACATGAAAGTCATAAAATTGCTGCTATGGTAATGTTTCAAAGGTTTCAGTAGCAATGTGTTACTCTATAACTACCAAAGACGACACTTTGAAAGTGTTCTTGTACCTGTATGCAAAACAATGACACCCATTTCTGTACAGGAAGGCAAATATATTACAGGTCAGAAAGTGGAGAGAAAAAAAAACACTGTGCTTCATCATTACAATGAAAACTTTAATACTACACAAATGGCATGACTAAAGTCCTTCACAGGATCCGCCATCCCCCTGCATTGTTCCCCAGCAGAATTCTGGCCCGGTGTGGGCCTGTATACCATCATCAGAATAATCATACATGAACTCTTTAAAAGGATCTTCCGTGATGTCAAAGTAGTCACCATCAAAAAAATATTGCCATTCCAGATCTTCGCTTTCTTTCTGCATACGGAATCCCCAGATGTTTCCGGAATCATGAAACGGCTCACTATTATGTTGGCTGTGGAAGTCCTCAAAGTTGGCAAAGCGTTCCCCAAACGTGACCTCATCCTTGCCTCCTATCTCCTCATACCTCTTCTGCTGCCTATCAGCCGAGAGGACCTTGTAAGCTGCACAAAATGCAAATACGACGTTTCATTATTACTACAACTTTGGCTGCAACTTAAGTCGGAGAAAAAAAAAACTACTGCACATTAACTGAAAGAAAACAGATGTGGAATTTACTATTTGCAACAATAAAAGTACTAACTTAGCTGATTAGGGTCATTAAATTTGGAGATAAAAATTCCACAGGCATTTTATAGCACGTCAATTCCGCGCGCGCGCGCACACACACACACACACACACACACACTAAGCACATACAGTACTGTACTGCATTACTGGTACATGGCATTTCCATTACTTGTTCTATACACACGCATATTCACCTTCAGCGATTTCTCTGAAAACGGCCTCACTGTCAGGATGATTGTTTTTGTCTGGATGGTACTTCATTGCTTTCTTGTAAAACGCTTGTTTTATCTGACGGCCCGTGGCCGAAGGCGGCACACCCAAAATTTCATAGTAGTTTTTCCCAGCCTCGGTCATACACAATAACACGCTCGCCACCGCAAGGTATTTAAAACAAAACATAATTTTCCTGGTAAAGAAAAACTTCAACTCAGTAATTAAACACGCCTGGTCAGGCTGCGTACAACACAAGGTTATTGTGTAGAGTATAAACAAACAAAAAAAGTTATTTAGGTCCCGGTGGGGTGGAAATAGATTCATTTTAAACTGGGGTTCGCTTAATTAACGCAGCACCTCCTACAGTACGTACTCGCGGTTCAAAGCACCGGCGCCTATTTTAAACTAATTAGATGACCTGGGCGTATTCCCGTCTGGTGGAAAGGACTGAACCATGTAGTTTCGGATCTATGTGCTAAACACGTATTATAATGTTATTTAGAATTTTTAATTTTGATATTGCAGTATGACTTCAATATTACTAGACTAAATATGCCATTCCTTTAACTGTCATGCAGAATTCTAATACTATATCATATTGAATGAATGTTATATTCCTTTATTTAGAAAATAAATATTGTGTTCAGTTGAATTATTTCATATTTAATAAATTAGGAAAATGTAGTGGTGAATATGTCACACGTGTAGGTGCTAACGTAATCCGAAATATATGACAATTAGCACCTCATTATAGCATGAAAAATCAGATGAATATCAGGTATTTATTACTGCTAAATTAAAATATTCGGTCTGAATGAACACCTGCATATACTGCGGTTATTGAGGATTGGTTGGTCATATGCGCCGATAGCAAACGGAGCATAATGTGATTTGGAAATCTGGAGAAAACTGACGAACAAACTTCCCATAAATACGACTTCCTATCAGAGATGTGCAAAATGTATCAATATGTATTTTGATACTAAATATCCAATTTTTAAGTATACCAAAATAAACTACAAAGTACAGCCACCAAGCAAAGTATCAAAATAAGCTGCTAAGCTACAGTACATTGTATTTTAAAAAACAGAAAAAGACCGTTCATATACTTCTATTGTATATCAGCCTGTTCCTTGACTCAAATGGCCAAACATAAGAGCAACATCTGTTCACTGCTTAACCACACACAATACAAATGTGAAATCAAGCAAAAGATCAAATATTCTGAAGTGCCTTAAATGTATCATTACAAGTTACACGATGACTCAGATAATGTGAAGTCAGTGAAATCAAAAAGTATTAATAAACTCAGAAAGGTTTTTTTTTGCAGTTGAATTGACAGAACTACTCCCTTTTTGCACCACAGATTATTTGACTCAGCTGTCAAAACCACGACACTTAAAATGAAAAAATGACAAACAATTTAAGCACTTTGCTTCAGCAAGATCTTAAATACACAAATAGGCCTCAATGGAAGGGATCAATTATTGGCTCTAATGACCATTCATTAAAATGTATGAAAAAACAAAACTTCCTCGATATGTATGCACAAACATTTCACATGCATGGCGTGCGTTATCATGCATACATTATGGGGAAAGTATTTCTTCTATTTTCAAAATACAAAAATACTGGACACCAGGGTATTTTGATGCAAATTACATAATTATTGTATTTTATATTTAAAATACATATTTTAAACACGATTCAGAAATACTGCCCATCCCGGCTTCCTATAAATATTGTGAACTTACGGCAGCTTATTGCTACATCAGCAAATGAATTATATAGATATTCATGTGTGTCCCCCCCCCCTAATACATAAATATTGGGACACACCTCTTAATTTTTGAATTCAGGTGTTTCATTCATTCAAGTGCATTAAATGAAGCACCAAGCCATACAGTCAGGTTTATAAACATTTGTGAACGGATGGGTCATTCTAAAGAGCTCAGTGAATCTGAGTGTGGTACGGTCATAGGACACCACCTTTGCAATAAGTCAGTTCATGAAATTTCTTTGCCGCTAGATGTTCCACATCATTACAGTGGTATTATTGCAAAGTGGAAGTTTAGGAAACTCCTAGCCATGAAGTAACAGACCACGTAAAGTAACAGACCACGTAAAGTAACAGACCACGTAAAGTAACGGACCACGTAAAGCAACAGAGTGGGGTCACCAAGTGCTGAGGTGCATAGTGCATAACATTCGCCAACGCTCTGTTGATTCAATAACTGCAAAATTCCATACATCCTCTGGCATTAAACCCAGTACAAAAACTGTGCCGGGAGCGTCATGAAATGGGCTTCCATGGCTGAGCAGCTGCATGCAAGCCTCACATAACTAAGCACAGTGCAAAGCGTTGGATAGCGTGCTGTTAGGCATGCTGCCACTGGACTGGAGCACTGGACATGTGTTCTGTGGAGTGATGTTTCCCACTTCTGTCTGGCCATCTAATGGATGAATCTAGGCTTGGCAGATGCCAGGAGAGCGTTACCCGCCTCATTACATTGTGCCAACTGTAAGGTTTGGTGCAGGAGGGATAATGGTATACCTTTAATGGGTTATGCCTTTTAGTTCCAGTGAACGGAATTCTTAATGCTTCAGCATACCAAGGCATTTTGGAGGATTCTGTGCTTCCAACTTTGTGAGAAGAGTTCGGGGAAGGCCCTTCTCTATTCCAGCCTGACTGTGCCTTAGTGCACAAAACAAGATCCATAAAAACGAGGTTGGGTGAATTCGATGTGGAAGAACCTGAGTGGTGCACACAGAGCCCTGACCTCAACTCCCTCAAACACCTTCAGGATGAACTAGAACAGAATTTGCAAGCCAGGCCTTCACATCCAACATCAGTGCCTGACTTCACAATTGCTCTTCTGGATGAATGGGCAAAAATTCCCACAGACACACCCCATAAAAATCTGGAAAGCCTTCCCAGAAGAGTGGCAACTGTTATAGCTGCAAAGAGGGACCAACTCCATACGGATGCCTATGGATTTAGAATGGGATGTCATAGACATTCCTGTAGGTGTCCCAATACTTTTGTCCATATAGTGTATTTGGAAACGGGAATTTTTATTAGCAGCCTTCCTATAGGCCCATGCCGTATAATACAGAATCTATGTCAGTGAGGCACTGTACTTGTTTGTTAACCCTCTGCTCTGGATCTGGCCCTGGGTTGTATTGTGCCTTACAGCATTTGTAAACACAACGTATAGATTCTTTCTAAACTCTAGAAAGAAGTTTAAATGAGCCAGACCTGGGGCCTGTATCACAAAGTAGGTTTTCTCACTTAGCCTGATAATTTTATGGATTTATGGATGTTGGAAGTAACTGTAAGTGAACAAAGATAGTCCATTTAAACTGGGGTACCTTAAATTCTACAAGTTATCTAGTCATCAAATCGCACTTTGTGATACAGGCCACAGTACTAGTTTGTGGGCTGGCAAAATTTGAGGAGAAACCCCCGTGTAAGATTTATTGTGGGGGACCAGGGCCAATTTTTAATCCTAGTCTGGCCAGTAATGAACTAAATTAAAAGCTATTCAGGATGGATTTATGGATATTGGGTGGATGGTTGCATTTTTATAGGATATGTAGTGTTTTGCTAAATCAGTTCTCGACAAACAAAATTGCAACAATCAGGGCTGGATCCAGTCAAACTAGCAGCCAACTGGCACAAAAGGGCCTAAACAAAGTCATGGGGGGGGACATATAATATGTACACACACACACACTTACCAATCAGCCATAACATTAAAACCACCTGCCTAATGTTCTGTAGGTCCCCCTCATGCCGCCAAAACCTGTGGTATCTGACACCAAGCTGTTAGCAGCAGATCCTATGCCCTGTAAGCTCCATGCATGGACTCGTTTGTCCAACATCTCACAGATGCTCAATCAGATTGAAATCTGGAGAATTTGGAAGCCATGTCAGCACTCTTTTTCATGTTCCTCAAACCATTCCTGACCAATTTTTGAAGTGTGGCAGGGCGCATTATCCTGCTAAAAGAGGCCACTTGTCACGGATCGACCCCGGGGATCCCCGACTGACGTCACGAAGATCACGCCTCCGGGGATTCCTTGATCCTACCTTCCCCGTTTTAATGAGCTGTCAGCTCTACGCCGCTATACCGGGTTGTCCGGTTTCTCCGGTTCTCTTTGCATCCACCTACCGCGAGCTGTTGCAGATCATTTCTAGATTAGGGAGACTATTTTAGCCATCGGATCTTGCACCCTGATGCAAGATCTTCAAAAGTTACTTCTGAGTTCGAGCGTTTTTCTGGTTTTGCCTCTCCGTGTTCTCTGACCGTTTGTTCTGCCGTTTTTGACTCCGAGTTTTCTGTCCAGCCCCTTTTGATGCCCGACGTGAATCGCCTGACCTCCGCCTGTACCCCGACTACGAGACCTGCCCAGCCCCCAAGACCGACTCCGTACATCGCCCGACCCCAGCCTGTCCCACGACTACGATCCAGTCTGCTCCTTTTGTTTATTCTGAGCGATACGTTAGCCAGTAAACCTTCTGGTCTTCAGACAGTTTTCGCTTTATTTATTAAAGTCACTTGCACCTGACTCCGCGACAGCGTCCTCTTTGCCCCTCACACCACTGCCATCGGAGAATACCATTGCCATGAAGGGGTGTACTTGGTCTGCAACAATGCAGGTGGAACATGATAAAATAACATCCACATGAATGCCAGGACCCAAGGATCCCAGTGGAACATTGCCCAAACAATCCAACTGCCTCTGCTGACTTGCATTGTTCCCCATAGTGCATCCTGGTTCCATGTCTTCCCTAGCTAAACAATGCACACGCACCCAGCCATCCACAGGATGTAACAGAAAATGTGGCTCATCAGACCAGGCCACAATCTTCCATTGCTCCACAATTCAGTTCTGACATTTACATGCCAATTGTAGGTGCTTTCGGTGGTGAACAGGGGTCAGCACATGCACTCCGACTCATCTGCGGCTACAGAGCCTCATACACAGAAAGTTGCCTACACTCCATGTGCTGTGTGTTCTGACATCTTTCCATCATAGTCAGCATTAACTTTTTCAGCAATTTTGCTACAATAGCTCTCCACGCGAATCAAGAAGCCCACGGCCTTGTTGTCGGTTCACCACTTGATCTTCCTTGGACCATTTTTGGTAGGTATACTGACCACTATATACCGGAAACATCCTATAAGACCTGCCATTTTGGCGATACTCGGACCCAGTCATCTAGCCATCACAATTTGGCCCTTGTTAAAGTCGCTCCGATCCTTACCGTCCCCATTTTTCCTGCTTCAAACACATCACCTTCAAGAACTAACTGTTCACTTGCCTAATATATAATAGCAAGTGCCATTGAAATGACATAAAAGTTATTAACTTCACCTGTCCATTGTGTTAATGTTATGGCTCCAAATTACGTTGCAGATGAAGTGAATTATCTATCAGTTTTCTTGGTGGAGGGAGGGGGCTCCCATGAGAAGCTTTGCCAGGCGCCTCTGAAAAGGTAGATCCACCACTGGGAACAATTGCTCTGTCATTAACTTAGCAGCACTTGGTTCTAAACTAATTCAGGTAAATGTGATATTTTAAGCCTGAATGAGAAGTTATGTCCTAAATTAAAATAAAATACAGAATATCAGTCCTCTCCATTTTCAGTTTGGCCAAGAGCAATAAAAAATGGGCTTTTTAAACATTTTTTAATACTTTTTTTTACATATTATTTTTCTTCTTGCCAACTGGTTTAATCCAGGGAAGTATTTAGTTGAGTTCTCTAAGTCTGCAGTAAGTTAAACAGAATCTTTTTGTTTCTTTAGGAAGTTAAAAAGTACATATACAAAATTTGTGTAAAATATGTAATTACACAAACCTTTGGTCCAAAGATTCATTAAGGTTGATTACAGGTTGAAGGATTTCAATAAGTTATGAATGATATTTGATTTGGAAATGTGTTTAAACTATGACTATCGATCTACACTTGCTTTTAAATAGTTATTTTAAACTTACCCTCAGTACATATGTGAAAATGTTTATATACATGACCATGTATACACTAAACCCACTTGCACTACAATCACTTTATAAGTACTGCAAATGCTGTTTCTCTACTATACACCTTTTTACTATTTACTATTTTACTACTTCTATTAATACTTTTTACTCTATGTATTAAGTGTTATTTTACTGTGCAATAATCAGTCATTACTGGTAATGATACTCAATTGTTATCTGTATATAGCAATAAAGTTGAAACATAAATCGCAGCTAATCCATATGCTGAGCAAGCGTAAGATTTTTTTATATTTAAAAAAAAAAAAAACGTTTCCGCTATTTGTAAAAGGACATGTACATTGGGTAACACAGAGAAAGCTGCTGTTTAAACAGACACATTCTTCTGTTATACCATATCACTTGACTTAGCGCTACGCTGATGACAGAGTAATTGCCCCTCGTCTCTTTGGCCGTCCAGCGCGTTTTACGTCGGTGCATTTACCTTCCTCACCGCTTGATGTCGCCATTCGATTCTCCAGCAGTTATCTTTCAGCTGACTACTGTCTTGTCGACTTGCCCCCTAGTCGTTTGGCAGGACGGGGGCGCTGACGAGTGTAAACAGGAGGCTATGGCCGACGAAGGGGGAGGAGGCGATAACAATATCAACAACAACATGGGAAACCAGCTTCAGTTACTGCCTGGTAAAGCATTTAGCAATTCGTTTCTGATCAATTTCGCATTTCCGTCTGATACATCGGCTTTGTTAAACGCCTTTGCAATGAATGTTTCACTTTAGTTTTTGGGTTAAACCAGTAAATAGATGTGCCAACAGAATGTTTTGCTGTCGTTAGCTAACTTGCTTTCAGTTTTACAGCGTTACTCATAAAGTCTCCGTGTTACGAAACCTATTTATATTTTGGCTGTGCGCTATGTTTAGCCTGCTTGTCTCCTGACAGTGGCGGTCAGGCGAGGATGTCGAGCTGGGTAGTTGCATATTAGGCTTGTCAAGTCATGGTTGGCAGATAAGCAGGCTAGCCGCTGTTAGCGTTTTAGGCTTGCAGCTTTGTGTTGGGAGTGTTCTATACAATACATGTCGAACGGTATGTAGTTGCTAGAAATCTTAAACGCATCTTAATGGCGATGGCTCTGGTAAAATCAGAAGCACATCCTAAGCATAGTGTCAGATTAACGAGTTGACAATTATTGTTATTTTAGAAAATGAAGAAGAGGGTGACAATGACATGGAAACTGAAGATCCCGATAGTGAGGACGCGAAAAAGCCAAATATTATAAATTTTGACCCCAGCCTTCCAACGTCACATGCGGTGAGTGGTTAGCAATACTGCCGCTACAATTATGAAATCCGCTTTTATTTTTTTTTGTTTTACTTTGTTTAGAGAAAAAATACACCATATACTTATGCAGTCATGATTTTACGCAGAAAATGTTTAAATCGTTCTGGCTGCTAGTTTCAAAATGCCGTCCTTTTTGTATCTGCACTGTACCCGCGTTTATGTCTCGGTAGAAAGACTGCATAGCATAACATTATATTTTTTTAGATAAAACTAGAAGGACTGAAGATTAAGGGTTAAGACACAGAAACAGTCCGTCATTAATGGGTCTGAGAAAGGTGTATCGTGGCTCTTCCTGGCAGTACCTGGGTGTGGACATGGAGGAGTTCCATGGGCGCACAGTGCATGATGATGACAGCTGCCAGACAATCCCTGTGCTGCCGCACATGGCCGTGATGCTGATCCCGGGACAGACTCTTCCCCTTCAGCTCTTCAGGCCACAGGAAGTCAGCATGATGCGCAGCCTCATCCAGAAGGACCGCACGTTTGCTGTGCTTGCATACAGGTATAGGGCTGTGGATCGTGCCCTCTAGAGTGCATGTACATCTGAGTAATCTAGTCATCTCCCTTGGTCATTTGTGCAGAATCTATGTACTCTGCTGAACTCTGCCCTTGATTGCCAGAAAACATCTTTTTGTTTTTATCTGTACTTTGTGTAAACCTGATCAGCCAACGATTTACTATAATCATTATAGTAATGTTAAGAAAGATAAAAGGCAACATGACATCCTATTCTGCAGAATAAAGAGTGCAGTATATCGATTTACTTCCACAAATTTATACAGTCTTGGTAATCAAGATTTCTGAAGCTTTCGATATTGTCAGTAAAAGAAGTTCATAGATGCAGTTGATAAAATGGCCTGTACACCATCAACACCATCTTAAGCATTCGGACACAATTCAGATTCAGTGATGCTTTTTCCTGTTCAGTGACGCAGATGAACAGCAACCGGAGTTTGGGACGACAGCAGAGATCTACGCGTACCGCGAGGAGCAGGAGTACGGCATCGAGACCGTGAAGGTGAAGGCCGTGGGTCGTCAGAGGTTCAAGGTTCATGAGATTAGAACCCAAGCTGACGGGTAAGTGTATGGCTAAGCAGCAGAATACATCCGTTTACACAGCCACGTGTTCTTAAAATGCACTATATTTTAATTGCATATATTAAATTGTGAGCACACAATAACTACAGTTTGCTGCAGTTTTTCTAGGTCGTGTCTATAAAGTGGTGGTCTGTGAGATTATGGCAGTCTTTATTATGTGCTGTATAAATGTGCCTGGTAAGACGTTTTGGTTTAAAAAAATAAAAATAAAAATTGACCATTTCAGTTAGTAGTCACCAGTAGATGGCAGGATTCTACTAGTACTCTAGTTTACCCTGCTTACAACACAAAGAATACAGTCACAGAGTATAGTGCTGCTTATGAAGTGTGCATGGTGGGAGGTCAGGGTAAATGCACATGTTTTTTGGTCAACCTTTCCATGTCAATTTTAACATGATACACTACAGTCAATCTACACCAGCACATCCCTATTAAGCACACAAGTGAAAGATGCCCTTCAGTTTATATGGAAGGTGACTATAATCGCAATTCTGCAGCATTGCTCTGTCATTGTGGCATTTTGATAATATACATAGCAGATGGTTTTCTTAAGAGTGTGTAACCATGTCCCATGTGAATATATAGGCACCTTAATAAGAACCTTTGTAGCTCTATACTTTTTAAAAAATAGCATCCTGTTTATACTGATATTACACAATTAAGCATTAAAAATGCCTTTTTATTTAGTCAGCTAATATGCTACACTGTTTACCTTGATTGACTTTTTGAATGTCACTATGCTCAAAATAGTTTTTCCCCGCATAACAAGTTACATCTCAGGCACTGAGTAAACTGAATTTACATCCAGTAGGGAGGTGATGCTACAATTATACAATTCCTTGGTAAGACCCCACCTAGAATATTGTGTGCCGGTTTGGTCACCATACCTTAAAAAGGACATTGCTGCCTTTGAAAGGGTTCAACGTAGGGCCACGAGAATGATTCCTGGTCTTAGAGGAATGTCTTATGAGGAGAGGTTAGCTGAGCTGAATCTGTTTAGCCTTGAGCAAAGGAGACTAAGGGGGGACATGATCCAGGTCTATAAAATTCTAATGGGTCTGGATGCTGTTCAGCCAAATGGCTATTTCAATATTAGTTTAAATACTAGAACTCGTGGCCATAAGTGAAGATTAGCGAGAGAATATTGTAAATAAGTGTTAACAGTACAGTACCATTTTGGCTATATTCAGTTATACATTCCTGAAAATACTATAGATGTTAGATTTTTTTTCAAGTTTGATTCTTCCATTAATTACTTCCCCATAGGAAACCTGTGTTTCTCCCTTCTGTAGACATCTAACCTGTCATCAGTTCTCTTTCCTGGAAATTGGTCGCTGAATTGGTCGCCCAGGGCAGCATCTCTGATGGGGTGCCAACTTAGCAAACCGCCCACAATACCCTCATTTAGGGTTCTTTACTGTGAGTGAATTAATTTTATGGTTCATACTGACCGCCATCAAACCTGGCGACCCCTAGCAATTTTGTCTGGCAGTGATTCAGTCCTCTCCTGAGCCTCACTGCACAGTGGTTACATAACAGGAACTGTCTGTCTCGCGTGAGGGATTTTATGTTTTGATTTTTGTAGAATAAGCTGCCGCCATCATGGAAAATGGGAGCATGCATATTGTTTAAACACTGTTGCCTGGAATTGTGTGAAATGGCTAACAAGCCGAACAGTGGGCTGTACATTAAAAGAGCAATGGCAGTGTTGTTTTCTGCTATCAGCTTTACTCCTTGAAGTGGTGGCCCCATTTATTTTTCTCCTCCATGTGTCAAGAAGCGAGATGTGCCGGCTGTTACCGAGCACCCAACGCTATTCACTGCTGTGGGCTACTACCCAGCAGAGGCTCCTGATTAAAGGACACCTTTTATTTCAAATTCAGCTCACAGCTTGGAGTTTTTGTTTTGTGGATTTCATACAGAATCTTGTGTGTCTGGTATTGCTCAATGCTTTTTGTAGAATATTACTTTCTGTACTATGGGGCAATTTATAATGATTGAAACTTAATATAGTGAAATTGTCTGTTGTATAGACTCACAGCTGCCCGTCTGTCTGCTGCAGGATCCGCCAAGCGAAGGTGCAGATTCTGCCTGAGAGGGTTCTGCCGGACCCCCTGTCGGGAGTGCAGCTCACCCCTTTGTCCCGTCTGCACATGCATCCATGCTCCAGGCCCCCGGCCAAGCAGTGCAGCCAGGCCCAGCGCTGGTGGAGCAGATACCAGAAGGTGGGGATGCCCTGTCTGCTCTGCTCAGCCCTGAGCTTCTCTAGCTCTTAATTATCCAGCTTAAGTACTGTTGTTGTGGTGAAAGGTGCAACTTTATATGAGTACGGCTGAAATGGATGGATGGATGGATGGATGGATGGATGGACAGTGTCGGAAAATTCCAGCTGTACAAAGTGCCACACATTGAAATGTGGGACTATTGGCAGCCAGTCAAAGCATCAGTTGATAATTGCTAGTTTACCATCTTGATGTTGCTTTAAGGTGCTGAGTTAAGACTTTTTCACATGTTAACACATGTATGTTTTACTAGAGTAGTTCAAGTTGAGTGCTCTGCTGAAGGATAACTTATCAGGAAAACTGCCGTAACGTTAAGTACCATAACGTTAAGTACCACTTTGTTTTGCTGTAGTAAGGTCTGCATGTTTGGGGAAATTGGTTCCTTCATTTTATCTGTAGGTGTTACAGTTGTCATGAGAATGCTGATAGGTTAACCTCAGCCAGGACCCCAATGGACACTGCTTGTCTGTTGCTCAGTTGTTATAATATTTTCGATAGCCGGCCCAATCCCAAAAAATCACAATCGCAGCCGAAAAATTGGTTTCCCTCTAGACTTCCGTATATACCACCTCTCAGGGTTGTAGAAGGCCATGGCACAGGCAGTAGCCTCATATGTTGCTCTGATGATCCCAAACACTTTTGTCTGACAGTAATCCAGATTCCTCCTGAGCTTTGCCACACAGTGATTACCAATGAGGAATTTTCTGCCCATCTATTATGTATGTATCCAGATGGTCAACCTTCAGAACCACGTACATGCTGCAGCAGAAGATGGTTTAGCGATGGGCAGACTCTGCGTGTGGCCCTGACAAATAGCCGGTTAGCTCACACATAAATATATCCTGCGGTTTTTGTGTATTTTGTGTCTGTCTGCATGGTCTCTCTTTGCTCAGTTTGCTCACTAATGCAAGCACCAGTGTTCACAGCACCACACACTCGTACTTTTCCTGAGCTCCAGGAACTTCTTTGCTTTTCACTGAAGTTCTGTGATTCTGATGCCCGTCAGATTCATTTGGTCTCCAAACTGAGAGACCTGCCCGTGTCACCAGGAGCAGAGATACTGAGAGAAAGATCCGGGCTGCGTCTTAGGGACACAGACAGTAACTCAGTCAATTAAGCTAAATCCATTGAAAGAGAGCTTCCCCCGTGAAGCATGTTTGCACTTGTTGGTTATTCCTCCTTGTATTTCCATATTTTATCAGTAAAACTGCCTGAATTTCCTCTCTATTCTCTCTCTTTTTTTAACAGAGGAAGTTTCACTGTGCAAAAGTGACTTCATGGCCAGCCTGGGTGTACTCGCTTTATGATTCGGTGAGTGCTTGAGTCACTAACTCTGCATGTGTATATACTGTAGATATACATTATCATTCAAATGTTTGGAATCACTGAGAAATTGGTCAATGAGCCGACAAAATCCCTTGTCCTCCACTATGGAAAATGGATGATTGTCTAAAGCATTCATCTCTGTTATTGTAGTAGAAGTGTCTTTAGCCCTGGTGGCACTAACTTTGCATATTGATAAAGTCGAAATTAATGGACTTAATTCTAACAATTATTTTAACCGCCAATATTGACACAAATTGACAAATGTAATTAATTTTGGCCAATACCAATATTGTAACTGATGCATTGTGTATCTCTTGCCATTTTCAATGGGTTTGAGGAATTGCCAAGAAACTGTACATCTTTTACAAAGGTGGCCACTACTCACTTTACCGGACAGCACATACTGGCTCTAACCATGATAGAATGACACACAGGAAGGCCCATTGCACAGCTGTGCAGGAGGATCACTTCATCAGTCTCTAGTTTTAGAAACAGACGTCTCACAGGTCCTCAACTGGCAGTTTAAATAATACCCGCAAAACACCAGTCTCATCTTCAGCAGTGAAGAGGTGACTGGGAAGCCGATCATCTAGGCAGAATTGCAAAGAAAATGCAGTATCTGAGACTGGCCAGTAAAAAGAAAAGAAAAAAAAGAAAAGAACTGCATAACATCAACTGTCAAGCATGGTGGGGGAAATGTGGTGGTCTGGGGATGCTTTGGTGCTAGCAAAGTGGGAAATTTGTACAGGGTAACAGGAATGTAAAACCAGGAAGGCTGTCACTCCACTTTGCAATGTCATGCACTTGACTGGAGCCAGTTTTATTCTACAACAGGACAATGACCTAAAACACAGCTTCAAATTATGTGAGGTTTTAGAAAGGAAGCAGTCACCTCGTATGATGCCTGTAATGGTTTCAGCACAAACCTTGGACATCAACCCTATTGAGCTGTTGTGGAAGCAGCCAGACTATATGGTACGATGAGTCTCTATCAAGCTAATCTAATTCGTTGGAGGTGCTTCTGGAAGCATGGGTGAGATTTTTGCAAATTACCCAAACAAGCCAGAATACCAAAGGTTTGCAAGGCTGTAATTGCTGTGTATGGATTGGTATTCCACAGAAAAAAAACATTATTTGTAATCTTGTTGATGTCTTGACTATATTTTTTATTAATTTTACAGCTTTTCGGATGAATAAAAGTATATATTTTCAGGGAAAACGTGGAATTTTGTGATCGATTCCAAACTTTCGAGTGATAGTGTGTGATGTATTGTTCAGTCCTGAATAATACATGCTTAAGTCTTCATAGATGACGTCTCTCTTATTGTAAACCTTCTCCGTCTGCTGTGTTATAAAGTGCAGAGAGCCAGCTGGACGCTGAAACATTTATGTAGCCTGAGCTGGAAGCTAAGAATGACCTATGGCATAGATTTGCAAAGGTAATGTCACAGCTAAGACTTCAGCTGGTCTGTAAGTAGGAGCAGCGTGAAGGAGCACATAGCCTTATCTCGATAAGACCAGGTGAGGGTGATTGCTAAGTGGCCTGATTCATAGTTTTCTGCATGTCTGTGGAATGCAGCTCTAAGGCTTCTCGATGTCTGTGTGGATGGTGCTGATAATGTATCTTTATTAGGCATCACATGCCACTAGTTCAAATGGAAGGAAAAGAGAACCGAATGACCATAACGATTGTGATATGAGACCTGGCCTTGTGTAAAGACGATCCTACTATTTATATGGAAAATGGGCAGCCATTCAATATAAGGACGCTTGACCTAAGTACCTGGTGAGGTACATCTGAGGCATTTATTAGACAGTCCTGGAAATTGCAACCACTGCAGTTATCAGTATTGTCTGAAAGACAGTTTACATTACATGATTAAATCGGTATCAAAGGGTCATCTCATTGCAGATTGACGTAATTGTCACGCATGGAATGTTTGGAAGCGACGGGCAGTTTTGTTTATAACTTACGGAACAAATTACAGAAGGAACCAGAGATGGAGAATTTCAGATAACCGCATAGGATCAATGTTTAGTTGCTTTAGGAAATCATTTGGCATCCAGATATACAGTAGATTTTAAGAAGTCTACAAACCCTTAATGAATTTGCAGGTTTTTGTGATGTGAAGCCAGAAATCAAGACAAATCAAAGTTGGACATTTGTCCTTGTTTAATGTGACCACACACACACCCAAAAAAATCAAGCAAAAACAAATAATTAGGACAAATAATCACATGAAACATAAAAAAATTACATGATTTATCTTGATTAGTGGCTTCGCATCAGAAGAACCTATAATTCCAATAGGAATTTTTGTATACACTGTAGGCAGAGCGATTCCGCTTGGGCACCATATCTCTGAACCTACACACTCTTTATTGATACAAAGGATGTTTTTTTTTCTTCTTGTGAAATTGCAGCCAGGGAATGAAGAAATAATTGTAGACAGGTTCTGTACACAGTAACCAACGCTGATAGACCTTGTTTCTCAACCCATTCATTACTGCTCTGTTTTTCTCGACCAGGAGGTCCTGATGAACAGAGTGAAACAACAGCTACATGAATGGGACGAGAACCTTAAAGATGACTCCCTCCCCACCAATGCTATAGGTACCTTCCTTCAGGTCTTTAATTTCAGGCCTATATTGCGGCATGTGGAAAAAGCAAGATTCTTAAAGGAAACAAATGAAAGACGCATTAATAGCCACCTTTAGTTGGCTGTCCTGAGATCTCAGTGCTGCCTTCGACAGCCTAAGCCCTACCCCTCTCCTCCAGACTTCTCGTACCGAGTGGCGGCATGCCTGCCCATCGACGACGCCCTCCGCATCCAGCTCCTGAAGATTGGCAGTGCTATCCAGAGGCTCCGCTGCGAACTGGACATCATGGACCGCGTAAGGTTGCATTTTGCTAGACTTGCGGTCGTCACCTTTGTCCCACTCTACACTTGTGTTTGAGAACGTACGTCAGGTCCAGTATTACAGTGAGCCATCAAAGCTATTGTATTTCTGATATCTCTTTGCAAAGACGTCTCATAATTCCCTGGCAAAGGTTCGAGTGACTATTGGACCTACTACCGTATGCAGTAGTAGAATAATTGACTTACTGTATATGTGTGCTTTTGTGCAATGCAGGTACAGGATAGTCATGTGTGCTTGGTTCAGAGTACTGTGATTTTAGTTATTTAGCCCTTCCTGGAAGGTGTTCAGCCTGTTGGTGTTGCTACTTCTAGCCAGCCCCCCTTGAAACATTTCTGTCTAGAGCTTAAGGTCCAGGGTAAAGCTGACTATAGGTTAATTTGTCCTGAACTTCTCATCTGTAGAATAAAAGACAGATTTATAGAGCAGTGTTATTAAAGCGGACTACATTTCCCCTAGTCTTTTAAACCTTTTTTTGGGCAGAAACTTTATTCTAGCTACATTAAGATTGCCTTATGTACTTAGGTCCGCTATGATGGATTGATGTGTAAAATACCATTCTGTTTCCATATTTTTGATTTTGCTTGGGTGAAGGATAAAATCACCACCTATGTGCTTGACTTTGTCGTTCACTCTTTTATCTGTGGCAGTGCACTTCACTGTGCTGCAAGCAGTGTCAAGACACCGAGATAACGACCAAAAATGAGATCTTCAGGTGAGTTTGTCATGACACCTGATCATGCTCATTCTCGGGTTTTTGATGTTTTTTTTTAGGCCTTAATTCTAATAAGAATTCTAATAAGACATACCAGTAAATTGTCAGATAACATCTAGTGAAATACAAAGTTAGGATTTAATTTTAATTTTAGGTGAAGGTTATTTCAAAATATGGTACATCTTAAGACAACAGACTTCAGGGAAATGTTTTTTTCTCTAAGATTTTTGTTCTTTTTTATGTGTGAGTGCATTGATGTGTCTGTGCACATGTCCAGTCATTCCATTTATATGGTTTCTGATAAGCAGTCTGGTCTAATGCAGGGGCTGTTGAGCTTTATCAACGCCCATATCATTAGTCTCAGCTAGGCTCCCTTTACTTACTTAGCGATACCTTTAATTACGGTTAGGAAAGAACCAAAGCATATCTCTTCAAAATGCATTCTACTGTCCAGCCTGCTGCATGTTCTATAGCGATGGATAGAAGTTTCACAGAAGTGCACAAGCCTTTGAATGGACTCGCATGATCAGTTACAGCTGCAATTCTCGTACTGCTGTCATCAAATGCCAGTGGAACATTTGATTTTGCATGAACGTCTTGATTTACTCAAAAGCAGAGCACTGACTGGGAAAATTGTCAGTGCAAGAACATCAGATTTGCTGTGACTCTGTATAACTAAGGCCCCGTTTACACTGTCTGTTAAATGCGACCTAATTCCGATTTTTTGCTCATATGTGACACAGATCGGATCTGTTCTGTGACAGTGTAAATGGGAAAAAAACGCATGCATTCGGATATTTCGAGATCGGTTTCAGGCCTCATTCATATGTGGAAATAAATCAGATATAAATCAGATATGGGCCAATGCGACTGTAATGTAAACAGGCAGATCGGATTTTCTGAGGCATTGAGTTCTATACGTCATTAAACTGCGTACGTGAAGCGTACGTGAAAAGTACGTGGGAAGTACGTGTGGAAGCGTAACATTCAAGAAACACACGAAACATGGAGGAGGAAAGTGTAGGGCAGTGGTCGGCGCCTGAAATAGCCTACCTTCTCACCCTGTGGGGAGAAGAATCCGTTCAGGATAAAATTAAAGGTTCCTACAGAAACAAATCTGTTTTCGAGGATATTTCGGCTGCAATGATGGCCCTTTTCCTTCTCCTTCGCCTCAAAATCGTGATGTTGTTCGGCGAACTTCGCATACATCGCAAAGCTATCATAAAACAAATTTCGCGTTCGTCCGTCTTGGCTACGGTGTCGTGCAAAAACCCCCGTTGAGCATGCGTGAAATTATAGCAAGTGTAAACACACGAATCGGATATGGGTCACAATTAAAAAGACCGTGTAAACAGACGGTCCAAAAAATCGGATATAGGCAACAAATCGGAATTAGGCATCAAGACCTGCAGTGTAAACGGGGCCTAAGTGACATTTCCAGTGTTGGTACTGTAGGGAAATGTAGAATGACTGGCTCATGGTGTCCTTGGTTTGAATTTTGCTCACATATTTCATATCACAAATATAAACACTAATGTATACATATATACACGTACACTTCATAGTATGATTTGTTATTTATTTTATTTTTTTTCTCATCTAGGCCTTCTTTCTGACAGGCATTTTGTTAATGTTTCTGTGATTTCATAAGACTACACTCCAGAAAAAATCTCATTAGAAGCTGAGGTTATAACCTTTTATCACAAGTATTTTTACAGACTAGGCTTATTTGATTGAACTAATTTTTCCTTCCCTGGCCCATCAATGGGGGAGCCTTCCTTTCTTGTCATATCACTGCATGAGTGTTGGAATGCACGATCATTAATGTGTTTCTCTCATGCAGCCTTTCATTATATGGACCCATGGCTGCTTACGTCAATCCACATGGATACGTCCACGAAACCTTGACAGTCTACAAGGCCAACAATCTCAACCTGATAGGACGACCATCCACACAGCAGAGCTGGTTTCCAGGGTAACTCCCCATGTGCTCCGTGTTCTAGTGCCAGTGATGTGTTCACCCCTCATGCACACACTAGCCAGGCCCCCACAATAAAGATTTTCTTTTAGTCCTTAGTCTCAACAACCCCAGAGTCACTGAGCATCAATTCACATCTAAAATGTAGAAATAGATTTTCAAAGACAAAGGGTTTCTTCTTGGCTAATCTCCCCTGAATAGCACCTTGCAGTTTAGATTGCATTGTACCATTCAGATATAAACACAGGCACCGGCTACAACAGTGGGAATCTGTACTTTCTTGTTTGTGGTCCTTGGGCCCAACTGTGCATCTTGTATATTTTTTGTTGCTTTGTTATGCTGCGAATCAGTTTGAACGATGTTCACATGGACATAATGTGGCATTGAATTTTCTATTTGTGGTGTTTACAGCCCTTGCACAACTCTTCAATATGGCCACCACAGACCCTTTTCATCTTCATAAATTCATTTATTGATTAATATATAGACACCATAATACGACATAAACCACTCAATTTATTAATTTATTTATTTATTTGATTTATCGAAGTAGTTTAAAGCAGATAATTTTAATGCTTGGTTTTGCCAGATTCAGTCATTTTGCTCCTGGGACACATGTGGCAATAAGAGAAAATTAGACTTAAACCTCAATAAGGTGGAAGACATCCCTAGTCCTGTCAATACTGTATGTTCCTGCCGTAATTTTTACAAACACCTGTTGCCGGATAGGGTGTTACTGAATGTCCTGTAATCCTCAAAGGCTACAAAAAAAATATTAAACTTATGAGAATATTTATGTGATGCAGATGTGCTTCCCAAGAAAGAAAGATCACAAAATGCTTTTGGCTCATTTTTTACAAAAAGCTTGTTTAATGAGTGCCGCAGGATGTGAAGTACTGAGGCTGTTAGAGGAGCTGAGGCCGTGGTTAGGTGCCCAGATAGAATGCCTGTCGAGACAGTGTCAGCGCAAGACTAGTATGTAAAGTGTGGCACAGCTGCGTGTCCCTGCCGCACAGGGGTGATGGAGTCTCCCACTCACTGCCCGCTTTGCCTCCTCTGCTCCCCAGATACGCCTGGACGATCGCTCAGTGCCGGAACTGCGGCTCGCACATGGGCTGGAAGTTCACGGCCACTAAAAAAGACCTGTCCCCGCAGCGCTTCTGGGGCCTGACCCGCGCCGCCATGCTCCCTCGCATCCCCAAGACGGACGGCGAGGACGGCGAGGAGGCGTCCCGGCTGCTGTGCCTATGAGTGGCTGCGCTGCCCCGGGAAACAACTCCATCTGTAATAGTCAAGCTAACAACGTACTTCTTTTAATGTCTGCTTTCAGATTGCATTTTGGCCTGGTCAAGGGAATACATTAGAAATAAGCATGAAGTAGGGGCAATTGGGCGGCAGTGTTGACTAAGGACACCCAAAGAGGCTAAGAGAGTAGCTTTAGCTGCAGACTGTCACATCAGAAACATGGCATGCTAGTCTGCTGAGCTCTATCAACTCAGCACCGCCGTTGCACAGCGTCCATATACTCACTTATCCACAACAACTCGATGTGTTTACTGCTGTTTGCCCCCTACCTCTTTATCCTAGTAGGCGAGGTGGTGCCATCTACCTACAGGGAGCTCTGCATGCGGTCTGATGTTTAGGAGCGGATGAGGGGGACAAACAGCACATCTGGGGAACAAGTACTCAACTCCCTTTTGAAGTTTCTACCCGTTTTTAGTCTTCTAGATTCCAACAATGTGGATTTGAGCCTGTCTTTGAAATCTTTTCTAGGTAATCCATGTATGTCAGTGTTGGGTGCTTGCTTTCTTTCTGAGGTGTAAAGAGAAATGTATTATATGATTGTGCTTCTGAGCATTGACTTTTCAAATTGCGGTTGAATGTCTTTGCAAGGGGCATTGTGAAAAAAGGAATCTGAGATTGATTATATTTTAAGAGTTTTGAAACTTATTTTGACTAAGCAAGTGTATTTATTTTTGTTTTTTTTTTGTTTTTTTACATCTTGCTACTGTTTAAGGGGACTTTAATCATTTTGTAATAATGTTAATCTTAGGATTAACAGTGATTTGTCAGCAAACCTACATCTCACATAAATCTACAAAAATGTATGTTCCATTTTTCTGCAATATGAGCAAATGAATATAATCTAGTATGTAATATCCACATTTTTATTTGTGAATGTGTCTTTGTTAAATACAGAATGGATGACTAGAAAAACTGTGACTCTACATCCTACTTTGAGGAATTCTCTATTTCTCCACTTTTCATCTTTGAAGGTTCCATGGCTGAGGCCTTCTGGTCATACTGGGGAGGGACTGGTCATGCCCCATATTTTGGCATCCAGATCTTTCCTTGGTGAGAATTGTGCAGCATACAGGCCACATTCCTGCTTTAATTCACTGATGACAATCTGGAGATTTCTTCATCAGTGAATGGCAGAAAACTTGTTTTGGCAAAACTAACATTTAGTTCCTTTCAGTAACCTCCAGTACACTTTTGATTAATGGCCACCTATAAGTGTGCAAAGATTAATTTGAATATATAGTTTTAGATATTACTGCTGCATCCACTTATTCATTGCAGTATGTAACTTTATGGAAACAAATCGTCTAGGTAGAGGCTTCAAATATGATAAGAACTGGACTGCTATTGAACATGCCACAGGTTTGAAGAGACTTGTGTGGTTAAAAGGAAGGTCTATATTCATTTGTTTAGTAGATGCTTTTGTCCAAAATGCAAGCAAGTAATGATCACAGGGCATGGTCACTTAGCGTCTGTGGAGCAGCTGGGGTTATGGGCCTGGATTTGGGGCCCATTGGTGATATTATTATAAAAGACATGGGATTTGACCCCACACCATTCTAGTCATAGGCACATATTCCAGAGCTACACAATGTAAAGTATATAAATCTGGTATTTTGTCGGCTTTTGTTTCAGATCTAAACTTATTAGCCCACCTGGCTCCGCTCCCACCACCACCACCACCACACTCAGCTCACCCTCTCTCTCTCTCTCTCTCTCATCTGCACATACACAGACAGCCTGGAGTGGCCCCTTTAAAGGAATCCCCCCCACTCAGGATAGCAATATCACATAATGTCACTCCAGTATGTCCATATATACAATGGTTCAGAATTATTATTTTTAACAGTCAGTCCATTGGAGAGGGCTCACTCTAACCTTCAAAACGGGATGTTCTTATGAAGTTGATCACAGTGGAATATGCAGTCTTTTTTTTTATGAAAGTTCATATTTACCATATTATGAGAAGGGTCCTATCAGAGAATGTGAATAACATAAACAGTACAGATAATTAACATAAGTGATTATCAGGAGCACGTAACGCTCGACCTTTAACATTTACCATAAGTATAAATGGCTATTAAAGACAAGGTTTTTTTTATTTTTTATAACATGAATCTTGAACTCTTAATTGAACATAAAAAACACAAAAGTAACATTTTCTAACACCCTCTTTATTTGGCATCACAAATTATCCATGAACTTGGTGGCCTCTGAGGTTGGTGACTCGATCAGGCTACTCTTCCACACCACACCCGCTATCCCGACCAGCACTCATTCTTGGAAAAGGAGGGCTGGGAAGTGAAGGGAAGGGAGGGGAAGGGAGTAGGTTCTGCAGGACGATCTCCTAATGAAGCAGGTGAGATGCTGTCGGAGACTTCCTCACCACCAGTGCCAGAGAAGAGCAGGGTCAGGCTTGTATCAAGGTCTGGAGGTGAACTTCTGCAGGGATCCAGTTTTGAGCCTGTTCAAAGGCCCAGCAATTGTCCAAGGTGTCACGTGAACGGTAGGGTTCCAGCTGGTCATGGCCGACCAGTTTCACCTTGGTCTTTGGGCCACACTGAATGCGAGAGACCAAATCTTCCAGCTGCCCCAGGACAAAGTAGGATGCAGGAAATATTTTCACGTTGTTCTTTACCCAGCAGGGACCCTTAACCAGAAACTACACTGCATTACCCTACTATCTCTTTGCATGTTCTACAGATTCAAACTAGGGATGCACTGATCCAACTTTTTCAGTTCCGATACCAATACCAATACCTGGGCTTTGAGTATCGGCCGATCCCGAGTACCGATCCGATACCAGTGATTAATTAATAAGACGTATGTCACACTTAGGAGAGGAGATGGAGATTATATTTAAGGAGACATCAGGCCTAAATGACCTAAATACCTCATTTTGGAAGACAATGTAAAAAAAAAATACGCACTAACAAATATGTATAAGCTTAATTATTTACTATTAACATAATACTAACAACGTGGTAACAGTATGCAACAGTGTATGTGCTATGTCGGCTAAGCTATTCAATCCTGTGCTGTCCAAGGCTTTTGTCATATTGCTAACATTAGGTAACAAAACCAATGTTTTGACTCAATGGATGATTATTACTAGCTGCTTTTGACCCAAGCAACACGAAAATACCAGGAACAAAACAATTTATTTTTTTTTGCCTTGTGTTATTGATGTTTATGACTGTTGTCATAATGTGTCATTCAGTTTTTGGAACTGAATGACACATTATGACAACAGTCATAAACATCAATGATGTGTCATTAATGTGCATGACGTGTCATGTCATTCTTATGACGGTTACATGTCACCCTTATGTAGACTGCTTCAAGTAAAGTGTTGCCTAACATGGTCCTGCAAAATTACGTGCACTTTTCCTCAACGGAATGTGCCATTGATCAGGCATTACCTTTATAACCATTGAAATCGATACGTGAAATTTTCATGAAATTTGATACGTGTTTGCATACTTTTTTATACAGAAAAAAGAAAAATTCAGAAAAACATTTCCATGATGGCAAACTGTACCGGGGTTCAAAGTGTTCAATCAGGCGGCAGAATCCCTCATTTTCTACAACTGCGAGGGGTTGCTCATCCAAAACAATGAATTTGAATACCCTTTCTGTTATTTTTGTCGTATTTAGACTATTGCTGGGGAGTTTCTCACGTCTTTGCAATGCTGCCTGTGGGGTATTCCATAAAAGTAGCTAAAGAAAACCAGACTTTCCTGAAAAAGTCAGACTCAAACTAGCGCCATCTCTAAACTTAGCCTCATGTAAAATGAGAGCGGTGTTTTTTTCCACTGCAGAACAAACACTGCTGATGGAGCTGTATGAAAAATACAAAGATGTAATCACTAAAAAAGGCAATACTGTGGCCATAAACACAGCCAGGGAGTTGGCTTGGCAAAGAATTGCAGAGACTAAATGCTTAAGTTATGTAAATGTTACAAGTACCTGGCATGGTGTCAACAAACTGTCCTAGCAGTGCACTTCACACCTGCACTTAATGTTTCCCATCCCTTTTGAAGGTCACTTGATGTCATCCTCCGATTCATGAGAAACTGTCAGATAAGTTGATGGTCATCTCTAGCATTAGAATGTCGCTTCCGCCTTTTACCAGGCTGGTTTCTGGTTGTTCCCAGTGTCTCCTGCTTCACCTTATTCTTGTGTACTGCTGTCTTAGAAATTTTGAACCTGAAAGCATCCTGCTGCTCAGCGTAGCCTTCTGCCAGCAGAACCACAATTAAATCATGATTTAAAAATGCAAATTTATTTAATAATATTGAGTGGTCTCTTAATTTTTCCCACGGCTGTGTGTGTGTGTGTGTATATATATATATATATATAACTTTTTAATTTCACAGTGACCTTTTCTTGGGAAGCTAACTTGTTTTGTTTAGGTGGCCAGTTTTTTGCCTGTAAATTTTTACTGAACTTGAAAATAATATCTGGTGCAACTATTGCAGTGTTTTCCATGATAAATATTTGTTCAAGATTGGCAGTTTTTGTGCTTTTATATTCAATTACTGATTTACTGTATATACATAAGGTACTTTATTTTAGTGTTATTTGAAATAGATTTATATGCAATTTGAGTCATTTTAACCAATAACAAGTTAGTTTAATCTCTGTACATTATCATGAGAAAAATACGGAAAAAAAATTAGAGCATGTAATTTCACTTTGATAATTATCCATGTGTTAGTAATTTATTATTTATATATTCATTTACATATTTGTTTATTTATAACTGTTCTATTTTAATTTATTTTACCAGATGGCAATCACTCTGCTTGCCATAGGCAGAGTGTTCATTCCTGACCCTGCAGCAAGAGAGGAGTACCTTGTTAGGAGTAGAGAAAAGTATATTAAAGATATTTTTAAAAATTCAAATGAAAAATAGCGGAACATGAAGTATATATTGCTCTTGTGTGTTTTTCATTACCTGGACAAAAAAAAATTTGTTTGTTAACATGTTCATCAGCTGTCATTTATAATTATTCCAAAATAAAATAGACTGTAAACTGTAGATGTATGACTTTACACTATATTACATTACTGTTTCAGTTACTAGAGAAGAAAATGTCAGAGAATGATTGCATATGTAAAGTCAAGTGAGCTGCCAAGCAGACAGAAAAAGAAACAGGGAAAGAAATGGGTGGCAAACACTGTTACACATTATACCACCTTTTATGGAGAACATTTCAAAAGTTCTGACTGATGTAGATACAGCACAAAAGCAGCCAGAAAATGCAGGCCAAGCAATGGTATGCCCCATTCCTTTGAATGACGATTTTTGTATTGACTGCCAACAGCTTTCTTAGAAAATCATTGAATTCCAAAGTAGAACAGTTACATTACATCAAATAAAAAATGATGAACTATTCCTTATAATGGCCTACTTCTGAGACAAGTATGGTGCCTCGGTGGATGACTAAAACCTAACCTAAGATAATTTTAGAGTCAACTCATGGAGTTACTAGTACAGCTCAGTGGAAGGTTGTAAAGAGGTACAAAAATAAAAATGGACATTTTAACAGTCCTATCAGTCTGAACTTGTTACATTGACTTCTATTTTCAGGTTTCTCCATTCATCTCCACAGGGCGTCCATACATTTTTCATTTTGCTCATCATCATTGACAACATCAAGGTGACATCCTCAGCATTGGAGATGAGACCCTCCAGTTCCCTAACTCTGTCCCGGATGGCACTCAGAATTCCTTAACTCGATCACAGTTTCTTTAAGGCAGATGCTATTTGCAATTATGCTATATTATTATTATTGTTGCTGTCGTCGCTGTTGTCACCATTATTATTATAATCAATATCCGTTTTATTGATGTTTTTGTTGTTGGAAGCCAAAGTCACTGAATTTGACTGAACTCGCAAAAACTAATTTTACAGGGGTTTACCACGAAACCGGTAATAGTTTCATCCCTAGTCTGCCGATATTGGGGGGCTGTGTCGTTCCTCCCCGTTCACTCTGTTTCCTACGGCGTTGTCCCTTCTGCCTGAACATTGCTAACTATATACACAAGACTAATTATTCGACTGAAGGCAGGTGCTACACCGTCACCCATTCGGTGGGGCACTGCAGCTTTCGATGGTTCCTCTTCTCAAGTAAAATCTCTACAGCGGCACTTCGGAATAGCGGGAGGTTTCCAAAGGTAGCCGTGGCCAGCCTTTGGTGGGGGCCTTGCTCATTTCAAGTGTTAACACAATCGAGAAGTTTCGATACGGTTAAAGAAAGAAAGAATTAACATGACAAATCAAGTTAAAGAAAACCATACTTAAGCAGCACGGACAAGCCGCAAGGAATGAGAAAAAGTCGACGTTACATATCTCCTTGTAGACCAACTGAATAGGTGACATGAAATGACAGAATAACGACCCTCCCTCCTTCCCTCTTCCCACAGGCATAGGTGACCTATCCCCAAAGCCACTAGTACCTATTGGAAGTCATAGAAAATTCGTTTTATTGGGTAATTAGTAAGCTGTGTTTTAAATCGGAGGTTATAAATGCAAGTCAAAACGACCGCAGTACGACGTGTGAGGGTCGTGAGCTACGGTGTGTGAGCGGGCTGTCGTGTGTAACTGCAGCACGTCGTGGCAAAATGTAATATATTATTACGTGTTTAAGGGTTTCTGCATACATTTCTATGCATTTTCTAAAAGCGACGTAAATAGGAAACAAACACTACGCGTGCTCATTTTTATGCTAGTTGTTTAAGAACAAGCTCGCTCGCTAATTTATGCCTTATGTCTTCTAATCCGCTTTAGATTTTAATACCCTTTAAAAACATATTTGACGTGGTAGCTAAATGTATGATTCATGCGAACCACAGAACTATGATATTACCGTAGCTAACACGCATAACGTTGTTTCTCGGCTGAACATCCGTGTTGTTTTCATAATAGTATTGACAATTAGAATAAAATTTATATCACTCCACTATTTGTGAATACATTTCAGCACCCAGAACTTTCTTCGAGTTATCGCATCTTGTTGGGAGGTTTATACACATATATGATGGTATATCATATTTCTGTTCCTCTCTCTTGTCAAGCTCTGTAAAATGGACCGCAAGCCAAAAGAGGAATTTGGATGGGAAAGTGCGGCTGCATTCTCCCCTTCAAAGAACAGGAGAATCAGCAATGACAGAGTCGGGTCCAGCCTTTGGAAGAAAGAGGATGAGGACCTTTCAGTGGGCCCTGGAATGCTGGAGGACATCTGCCTAAATACAGCCATGCATAAGCCAACTCATTCACCTTCAGAAAAGCTGCGGGCAACTGAAACGGAAGCCCTGGGCTGGACACCCACTAGGAGGACGTCAGGCCAAAGGAAGCCAAGGAAGTCCTACAGAACAGGTGCTGAAGTGACGGTCTCCCCTGCCAAGGTACTCCATTTCTGAGGGGGGGATTGTAGTCCTAGATATCACTTTTTACATGTCCTGGCTGTGAGATGCAAATCCCACAGGTTTTTGTTAAGTTTAAGGAGGCATGGTCACTCATCTTTGCTGTAGAAATTGTTAGATTAGTTGCCACACTGATTAGTGAATTGAATATATGAAGATGCTCATACAGGCCAGAGTGTGGGCTGTATTTCTCGAGCAATTTTCACGCACCGCTACACCCATGTGCACAATTAATTGGAAAAGTAACTGATTATCATGCCAAAGTAAAAATAGCATTCTGTTTCAAGGCTGCTAATATTGCAGCAAGAATATTATCATATCCCCCACGCCTACAGTACTTTTTACAATGGTATGTAGCAGGAAATAAAACAAAGTAGAGCATTTAAGCACCATAATGTTTAGCATGGTAACTTGTAATATATTATGACTGTCAAAAAGAAATGCCTAAAGCTCCAATTGTGTGTGCATGTGTTCTGTTTTCTCTGCTGGTACCATGTTTTCTGTGAACATATTGCTTTTTGTACGGTATATACTGCTCTGTATAATTCTTTTCCACAGAATGGCATGGTACTTTAAAATAGTATTAATTCACTTTTGGTATTAATCATGAAGTTAGCACATTCAGGAGAAAAAGAGAAGTTGGTATTGCTAAATATCAAAACTGATATGTATTTGTGTTTGAGAGAGAAATATTTCATTAGAAATATATTACGATAGTGTTTCAAGCTACTGTGTTTATTGTTATTTCAGGTATCAAACTGTGACATATCACCCATCTTGACAGAATCTATTTTATCCGACAATAAAGTCCTGCCATGTGGAAAGAAGAACAATGACAGGACACCAGAGGTAGGTTTTAAAGCTGTACTTATTAGGGCTGTAACAGATGCTCTTGCAGTTGGCACTAAAAAGTCTACAAAGGAGCCAAATCGGGGAAAGCCACCTCAAGAGAGAAGTGTCTGAAAACCAGTGTGATAGTATGGCTGATCTAGAGCTAGATGAGAGCATGTGCACCCAAGCAGGAGAGACAGTGGAGAAACTACACTGGTTTCTTGATCAGACTGCTTTGCTTCAACTGAAACTGATAATCAGGTACATTTTTGGGATAATGTTCTATTATCTGGGATATATTCTATTATTACCGTAAGTAGAGGATTTCAACATTTCACATGAAGGGGGAAAAAATAATGAAATCATTTGATTTAAAAAATGTTGCCTGGCAAAAATTTCTGTTAAGGCATTTATTGACTATCATGCTTTGGGGTTGTTACTGCAGCAGTACCAAAATGAACTGCCTACTCAGGGCCGTATATTTGGGTATGGATCGTAGGCACATGTCCCTACCAGAGGTGATCATTTCAGGTCCAGAAAGTACAAATCCAGACCGTGATTTAGTTTCAACCAACCAGTTGAGCATAAAGAGTCACAGTTACAGAGTACTCCACTGGTTGGTTGAAACAAAATCCTGGTCTGGATTTGTACTTTCTGGACATGAAATTTCCACCTCTGGTTCCCTACCCTTGTTCTTCCGCAAAGGGCCAGTGTGTATGCAGGATTTCGATGCAACTCCCTATTTAGATTACTAATTAGAGGACTGATTGGCTGAAGAGTCCTCACACCTGGGTTTGAACAGCTGACCTACAGGTTATCCCAAAAACCTGCATACACAACGGCTAAGATTGGCCACCCCTGGTTTAGGGGGTAGGGAGTTCAGGGCTGATTTGGTCCCCACAGATGTTGAAGCCAAATGTGTGCGCTTGGGCTTACTCTTGGTTTATGTTGAGTCTTACACTGGTTCAATGTTTCTCCAGAGAGAGTTCTTGGAAAAGCCTGATTGGTCTGATGTGGATGATCCAGTGGAAATAAAGAATTTTTCACAGGATGAGGGCTTTTTCACAAAATCCCAGTTGAAGAACAGCAGTGAATATGAAACCAGTCCTCTACCATACCTAGCAGCATGTTTCAAACATTCTAATGCATGTGATGATGAAATCCTGGTGCCACGTAAGCCACCTTCAGAGATTGCAATGCAGCTACCTTGTGAATCCTCTCAAAACCAGTGGAACAGTCCAGATCAGACATCGTGTGAATCCTCTTCAAATCAGTGGAACAATGCACTTGAGATGCCATCAAAACCATTTCAAAACCAGAGAAATAATATACTTCAGTCACCTTGTGGATTCATTCCACGGCAGTTGAATAGTGCATTCCGGAAACCTGACTCCTCTTCACACCACTGGAATACAGCTGTCCAGTCACCCGTGGAATTTTCTCAGAGACAGCGGAACAGCGCAGATCATAAATCTCGTGAACCTTCTATTGTGATGTGCAGTACTGGAAATCACAAGTCCCACAGCAGTGAAATATCTAAGAGGTCTGATGTTTTTGCAACACCGGGTTGTACAGTTAAAGCGGGGTCGTCTTTGCCAACTTACAGTTTTCCTTTATGGAGCCCAGATTTACTTTCTTCTGGTGATGAACTTAGAAGCGATTCAGACTGTAGCCCGATGCACTTAAAAACCTCATCGAATAACAGAACCAGACAAGTGTCTGTGGAAGCACAATCTATGTGGGACTCTGACAGTGACCAAAAGGCAAGGCCACTGAGTTTCATTGACACCCACTGTCATCTGGACATGCTGTATACGAAACTGGGCTTTCGTGGCACATTTGCTCACTTCCGTAGACTGTACCACAGCTCCTTTTCCTCCAAGTTTGAAGGCTGCATTGCAGATTTCTGTAACCCACGCCTCATGGTGAGGGAGCAGCTCTGGGAACCCCTTCTGAGCGAGGAGCTGGTCTGGGGGGCTTTTGGTTGCCATCCACATTTTGCCAAGGAATACGACATTATTGATGAGCACAGCATCCTGACCGCTATGAGACACCCAAAAGCAGTTGCCTTTGGGGAGATTGGGCTAGACTATTCAAGCAAATGCTCCACTACTGTTGGCCAACAGAAGAAGGTATCAGTATAGGGGATTATATCATGTTGTACTGGTGATTATCTGTCCATCTTCTGTGTATATTTATTTAATGAACTTATTATTCTTAGGTACTGAACTTAAGGTTTAATACTTGATAATGGATCTACTGGATTTTATTTTATTTGGTGAAAACTAAATCAAGTATTGTAGTTTGTTCACCCACTGGGATTTTCTTTCTGTATGTGGCAATGCGGTACGTTTCCCATATTCTTCATCTTATTAGGTGTTTGAGCGCCAGCTGCATTTGGCTGTACAAATGAAGAAGCCTCTGGTGATCCACTGCAGAGATGCAGATGAAGATCTCCTGGAAATCTTGAAGAGACTTGTACCCAGAGACTACAAAATACACAGGTTGATATAGGGCATAGATGATGCGCAAGGGTGAAGTGGCCAAATGAATGTAATTGTGTAAATTTTTTGACCGGTAAAAAAAAAAATTTTTTTTACTGTGCTCTCAGAACTTCTGATATGAGGTTGTTATGTTTGAAGACTGCAATTGCAATTTTATAAGTAACTTGTATTCAGAAAAGTCAGTCGCGTCGAAATCCTTTCTGAACCTGATTAGTGTTGTCAGTCCCTCCAAAAATACATTAGTAACTGACTTTCTTTGTGCTACAGACACTGTTTCACCAACAGCTATGATGTCATTGAGCCCTTTCTCCAGGAGTTCCCCAACATGTCAGTAGGGTTCACAGCCCTGCTCACCTACCCTAAAGCCGTGGAGGTCAAGGATGCCATCAAGAGAATTCCTCTCCACAGGATTGTAGTAGAAACGGATGCACCTTATTTCCTTCCTTACCAGGTACGCTAATACAGTCTTGTGAAAAAATGAATACAGGCAATGCTGGTTGTTCATACGTTTTCAAATATGGGACTGAGTCATTGCCTTGCTTAATTTTGTGTCTTATTTTGTGCCTATTCTGTATACTGTAGCTATGCGTCTCATATCCATGTATGAGACGCATAGCTATAATGAAATCTGTTGGAGATATACAAGGGTAATTTGAGAGTAATTTATGCATCTAGCTGAAAGCATGTCTTTGCCTCCTTAGGTTTCAAAGAGTGTGTGCAGGTACTCTCACCCAGGAATGGCCATCCATACCCTGCATGAGATCAGCCGCCTGAAGGGGGAGCTCTTCTCTACTGTCCTTTCTACCCTGAGGCAGACCACTGCTAAGCTATACGACCTGTGAATGTGACCCAGTGTGGGCGCCCATCAACAATCAGAGGCCACATTCATCGTTGATTCATCATTTGATTACCAAACGAACTCTCTATTTTACAGTAAGGGTTGCAGTTGTAAGAGGAGTAGTTAGTATAAATGACCACAACCTTTGTTTGTTGTATAATCATTTATCACTATTTTTATACCTTAAAACTGCTAAACAAACTGAACAGAGGAAATTTCTTTGTTTATGTTAGAGTTTCCGTTATCTGTTCTGCTCAACACGGAAATGATCACCTAAAGGTATGAAAGGCCTAGTAACATTGCCCGTGTAATTCAGGATTGGTGTGCCATTTTTTCCCTCAAAATTAAATGCTGTACAACGAGATATCAGTTCAGCTGAAATGTATTGAATATTAATCTGAGCATGTCTTATTGTTCTATTTTTACTGATTGTTTTACTCCTATTTTGCTGGTCCTCTGTGTCAAAGTGTTTTTTTATTTAAGAGACAAGGTGGCATTGTTGACATAATACCAACATTCTGGGTGATGGGTGACTTTACTGACAATGACGGAGTCATATACTTTTGTCATGTGAGTGCTGTAGATAGTCCTGCATTAATGCATGAATGTGTGTCTGACTTAATTGGATGGATTCATATTTTACCACCTTCTATCTCTGCCTGTTTAAATACACTAAAGTAAGTTAGATTACTGCCTTTCAACTGGGCATTTTATGTGCACTTACAGTCAGGATTTTTTTTTCTGAGTTTTGAAGATTGAGAAACCTGAAAAATTATATATTTTTTTTATTTTTATGGGACCGCATTTAATAAAGTAAAATCTAAAATTTCTGTGTAATTGTTTTTATTGTATTTTAATTACAATTTCAATTTATAACTTTATAACTGAAGTTCTCAGAAATGAAATTATGTAATATAGAGTTAAAAAAAATAAGCTTGCTTATTAGTCATCATCACTTAGTCAGTGTCAGTATGCCTAGAACTGTGATCACTCAAAACTGGAAAACTATGTAGTCTTAATGAAAAGTTTTCAAGCATGGCAAAATAATTCCATTGAAATTGAGTATAAAGAGATTGTATGCCAAATATTTTTTCTGTTTAATTTGCTTTGATAAAGCAGTGTCTGCCATTATCTTCATTCTCGCTGTTCCATAGGTCATTTTGCACTGCTTCACTTTCAGAATAACTTCACATAAACTAAAACATCTACTTCAGAACAATCACACAGACATTAAGGCATCCCATGCATTAGCTTTTTAAAGTTTATTTCTTAATTTTTTTATAGTGTAGTGCTTTGAAGAGGGCTTGGAAGCATATAAATGATTGATAGATGTGTTTTCTTTTTTTAAGTTCAAAGAGTATACTCAGAGTAGTAACAGCAACAGGCTGTCCCATACGACACCGTATTCATGGGAGTCTGCGTCGTTCACTGACCCTGCAACATGTGAAAAAAAGAATTACCTGAAGGGGACTGAGCTAATGTTATCTAATACATAAACATTGTTGATCGTAGATGAAGAAGTTGATGCAAATATTCGATATTACAATACAATATACAATATTTTTGTGTTTACACATCACAGAAAAATCTATGTAAACAACACAGGAGCACTAATCAATTCATTCAAAATAGCAAGGCAGCACTTGCAGTGTAGCTACGTTGGCGCCTTGTACTCACAGGCAAATATTTTCCCAATTTATGGGCCATCTGTCAGCACCTCCTGTACAATTGTTTGCAGTACATTTCCGTATTCTTGAAACTCTTCTTCATTCATGGTGATGCCCATCTCAAAAGGAAAGGTGAACTAATCCAGCATTAAAAAACAATATTTAGAAAGACATTTCAGTCTAATATTGCACTCTTATAATTTAAACATTATTCACGCTATTCTCAAAGTGGTATGGCATGTTATTTGTTTGGCACAAATTTTTTTTATTTCAAATAATTGTTTTAACAAACAAACGAGACATTTCCGTTTGGCACCGTTCAGTATTCTCTGGTTTTGTTTGAAAATGTCTTTCCCACCAACCAAAACATGCTTGTTCTCTCCTTCCAGAGTCTCAAACGGAGGAGGCAGCCCCTCGGAGAAGCGTTTGCCCACACGCACTGGTTTCTTCTCACTTTTCCCCTGTAGACACAGGGCTCATTTCAATCAGCGGTTTTCAGCTTCTTATCCACTCTTGTAAATATATTATTTTGTCACAAGATGTGGCTTGAGGAAAACAAACACACATCTTTTGCTATGTACCCAGGAAGTATACATGAAAGATTAATATCTAACTTCCAATTACAGAATACAAAAATGTGCCATACTTAAAATGAAATACTTAGTGATATTAAACTAAATGCAGCAAGTCCTAATATTATTATGTATGTGTGGAATTTGCATATTCTTCCTGTGTCACACAGGATTCTGCCCACAAGGAAAAGACATACGGTTAGGCTAACTGGCATCTCTGAATTGTCCATCGAGTGTAATTGTGTGAGAGACTGTGCCCTGCATTGGACCGACCTGATATACCTCAGTCTTATATCCTACGCTGTCTGGAATAAGTTCCAAGTCCCCTATAACTCTGACCAAGATAGATGGTTAGAAATGGATGGATGGATGGATGGATACCTGTGGTTTCTGAGATGGGCTGAGGAAGCTGGATCCTGCCTGGGCAGAGTCCGTCCATAATGCCAGGATACAGATAAACATGATTCCATATGCTATTTGCTTTTTCAGCTGCATGTTTGAAACAATGTTTCGATGGCTGTTTCTAACACCATAACCAAAAACACAAACAGAAATCACAAAAGAGGAAACTTTTATATAAACATTTAAAGGACATTTGCAATTAACTTAAAGTACAGTACAGTTACAAACTGGTTTCAGTTTTGTAAACGCTAGTTATGTAACTGAACAATTGGTCAAAGCACACGATAAAACTTACCTGTTGGACGGTGGCTGGAGTATACCCTGGAAGCATATTCGATAGACCTTTTTATAGAAATCAACTGTTTATTTTGTTACACATAAATGTAAGATGTTCATACTGAGATATCCAGGAAACAAAGGGCAATTAAAACTATGCTAATACCTGAGTAAATATGAATAGTGCATGCATACTTTAGTTGTATTGAGATGCTTTTCACTTTGGGAGTATGAACAGCTACATTTTTTGGATAATAGGCCTTTGAATATGATGTATGTTTGTGGTAAGGCTTATCTTGTGTGCTTTCTAAGGGGCTGCGAAATCATTTTAAAACTATTTGTCCTGCTTAGAGATATCTGTCACCAACTTTAGATGGGTTTCTACTCCACATTTATACCATGAAAAATACAGCAAACCTCAGTTGTCCCAAACATTTTTCCTCTATATATTTCATGATTTAGAAGATAATCCCTAGTCCCAATTTGAAACAATCCATCTATTTGATTCTGCTCTGATCCTTTTTCAGTTTTTTATGGACTTACCTGACTGGGGAATTCATAATAACCGTTTAGACTCATCATTCACATATACTGTACATATACCTATATTAGCCTTTTGCCATTAGTTCACAATTTTGCTTTATGGTTAACTGTGTTTTATTTAACAAAACCTTTTCATTTTCTTTTCCCTTTTTGGGAAAAGCTTCATTAACTAAAAGTTCACAATTTTCATTTTATATATGACATTGAATATAGAATTATTAGTGTTCATTTTTTTAATCACAATTATGATAAACACTTGATGCTTGAGTGAATGTCTCCATTGATTGGAGGGTCTTGGAATGAAAGGTCTTGATGCAGAGAGAATGTTAGGGTATTTCTTTGTACAAGAAGACATTTGGTCATTTGTGTTTTAGTCATTTTGTGGAAAATGAACAGATATACAAAAATGCTATAATTGCACATAGAACATTAGAAGTATTATAAAATTGTCCATGCAAAGCTTGTTTAATAGTAAAATAAAAAGATTTTGGAATAAACTGTCTTAAATGTTTGCACAGACCTTAACTCTTAAACTAAAATGTTCAAGCTGCATGTGATCATTTAAATGTTTTAATTCTTTATTTTTGATAGATTGAGATTGTGGAATGGTCATAATAAGCAATCCTCACAGGTCTAACCTTTTTTGCTATCATATCTTTTACTGGAAATGTCACTTCAGTCATTTCAAAAGAAAGCCTCTGCCAAATGAATTAATTAGCATTTAATTATATATTTAATCATCATATATGTATGAATATATTCCATGGAATAGTGCAGTAAAATTATATTTTTTTCCTTCCCTAATAAACTTAAAAAAACAAGGCTTTAGCATTTAAGCTCCAGTAGATGGCAGAGTTGAACCCAACTTCAAATCTACTGTAAGAAAACAGGCTTTTAAAATCATATAAACAGCCAGCTGTTATTTCACAATGCAGTTTGCTTATAATTCAGTGAGAATACTGCAGTATTGGATTTTGTGTTAGTTTTGTTGAATGTTTAACATCCGAAGTGTTTGAAAGTTGTCATTATATCTTCCAAAATGTCACTGTGAAAGCTGCCTCAACTGCAGTCTTTAACTTATTAGGAACAGTGAGACAAACCATCATGGCACAGTGGGGCTGTCCTAATACAAAAGCTTAGATTCAGGGTAACAGAAATAATTAATTTCTTTCAATCATTAACCTTTATTTTACCAGGCAAATCATTAAGAACAGATTCTTATTTACAATGATAGCCTGAAAGGTTGATGTGTCAGGATTTTATGGGGAAACAGTGGCATAGTAGGAGATTACAGGTTTGTGTCAGTGAGTATCTAAGTTATTTGGGTGATAGAGAGAAGAATACGGCAGCAGAACGTTGCAGAGAATGAAGAACAAGAGAAACTCCTTGATGTTAATAACCCTGGGGGTGAGTTTCCCGAAGCCTTCTTAACGCTACGTCATTCAGATTATTCAGTTAAAAAACAGAACTTACAAACGATGTCGCATTAAGAAGGCTGCAGGAGACTCACCTCTGGTCATCTAACTGCAAACAGTGCTGTGCTATTATGGATTAATGGTCATTAGAAAGAGTCAGATACTTTTTAGTTCAAATAAACATAAGTGTTCTATGACTAAACTTCTTGTTGTGGTCTTTCAAGCATCTAAAATTTTATTTCAAAGCTCATTGTTTCATAGACTGATCTAGAATGTCCTGTTGCCACTGGCAAAACTGACCTTGCCAATATAAATCTTAAAGGAATCAATCAAGAAAGCAGTATATTTTTATCCTATAAAAGAGGTGCCTAAAGAGTGGCACACATTCTAGTTTACACAGATTTTGACTTTGAGAAATGTTATTTATTAAAATTCACTATTTAGAACGAAATAAAATCTGAATTTTATTAGCAGCATTTTTGGATTTTTGATTGAATGTTTCATGGAAACTTGACATTTTGGATTGCAGTGTAGCGATGAAGTGCAGTGGAGCGATGAAGTCAGTGCAGTGACTGGCTGAAATATGGACCAAGTGACTATCCAGCCTCACTACACAGAGGTGCCACATTCTTGAAGAACATTGCAGAGCTTCTGACCAGCTGCCAGAAGCGGAAGGTTGAGTTACCAGTCGGCACTTGGAACCTGTGGCAGCCTTTTTGCGAGCAGCTGGATGAGCTACAATTAGATGCTAAACTGCTTCTTCACTTTCATAAAGCCAGTAGTGAACCCCAGTGATTCTGAAATACGCAGCTTTCCTTGCTCTTAGAAATGGAAAGCATCGCTATTCACCAACCAGACCCTGGCGGACAGTAAATCCATGCATTAATATGTGCTGTATGTCTCTGAGAGGGAAACCACATAACGTGTCTGCTGGGCAAGAAGAAAGGGCTTGGGAGGAAGTAGAAAATGCCTCTTGGGGGGCAAGATGTATTGGGGGGGGGGAGGGAAAAACATATAAAAGGGGGGTCAGTCAGGAGGCAGTGGTTGCTTTGGGTCATTCATCCCCCAGCTGTCTCTTACGGAGAGAATGCCTGCACAGCTGACTTATTCTGCCCCTCCCTCAGGCTTTAGGCCCTACAAGGTAAGGTGGTCCCGTCCCCCGACTGGAGAAAGCATCGACCACCGGCTGCACGCTTCTTTGGCTCTCCATATGGCCGACCACGGTTACTGCCAACCTGCATGGTGCTGATCACCCCATGCTGGTGGTGGATTCCCAGCAAGCTGTTGTATCACAGGGGAGAACAATCAAACCAGAACCCTGCAGGCACCATGTCACTCTGCCATCATTTATTTTCAAAATAAAAAAAATGGCATTTGCAGTGGGAGCGGTGATAAATAACGTCATTGTTAAAGGCATCATCATCATGCTCAGCCAGTCCCACCAGGCACACCTATTTAAGGATTCATACTCACGAATCAAGTCATTAATCAAAGCAGTGGATATCAAATATGCTTTTTCATTACTGTGTATCAAACCAGGGTTTCACATATTAGTAAGAAATTATGTATTGACAAAAATATCTTCAACAACATTCCATATAACATACAGTTACATTTTATCCAGTAAATCTTTCAAGATTTATTAGATAAGATCCATGTTGATTGACTCCATTGTCCTCATATGTTTGCCACACAAGCAGTGTCTCCTTTTATCAGCTGTATCGTTAGCAGAGCTGGGGACTTGAGTCACTGACTCACTACTCAACTCGGACTCAAGTTACAAATTGCATGACTTGTGACTCAACTCAGCAAAACTGATGGAAAGACTAGGACCAGACTTGGACCCTATGACCCTATGACTCGAGAAGACTTGAGGTTATAGTCCTCCTTCTGTATACCATAATGTTAATTTTATAACTTCAATATATATTAATTCTCTGCTGTCTGCATTTTCAATCGGCTGAATGTAAGGTCTCCTGAGATAGTTTGCTGGAAAGATGCATCACTCCCTGCATGTACACAGACATAAAAACTGTGTGAGGACAACTGTGAGAAGAAACTCTCTTTTCAACCTATCTCTGCCTATAAGGAACGTATCTTACAATGTACTGTGGTGGGTTTTTGCTGCAACAAGTTTTAATCACTAAAGGTAAAAAAAAACTGACATAGGTAGGGACTCAAGTTATATGACTCAAGTCACAAATCTCATGACTTGTGACGACAGAAAAAATGAAGGAAAGACTTGGACTCAACTTAGACTTGAGGGCAAATGACTTGAGACTTGACTTGTTTTGACTGGAGACTTGACTCGCCAAGTAATGACTTGTTCTCATCCCGGGTCGTGGGACTATATCAGACCTCAGTGGATACTTTACTGCCATGACTCTCTTATTGGCAGCCGCTTGCATCCCCATAGCTTCCACGTTCTGCCTGTACCAGAAGAACGGACTCTGCCTGCAGGTGTCATTTTCTTTCACTTACGGAGGTACAACATAAACTGTGTATGACTTTCATTCTAACCCAAGTTCAAATGCAAAAGGAGGTAGATCTATAGGATGAAGTGATAAATTATTTTTCTGTATCGCAATTTACCAGCATCACTTGTTAGAAGACTGCTCAGTTTTTCTTCATAACAGCTCAGGTAACGAAGAATCTGGAGAAAAAATTTATGACTGAATTTCCTCTGCTGGTACCCCACCCATCCTGTTTCTGCTAGAGGTCAGACATGACCCACCCATCTCCCAATTCCACCAGGCGACACTGGATGTTTGCCAGTGGGAAGTGGGCAAGCTGAGGACTATCTTGGAAGAGATGTGGGCTTGGTTCGTTTTTTGTCCCAAATAGTTATCTGTGCCGCCAAGATCCAGTTCTGTTTTGAAACTTTAACTTAGCGATTAGGCCGTTCACCATACTCAGTTTCCATCTTCTTTCAAATTAGTGTCTGGCTCAAGACCCACCGCTGTATCTTCCCCTACTTGCCATTAATACATGTTCTATCCAATAGATAACTAACTTCACACTCCATCTCATCCCAGGGATATTGTCCTTCCAAGAGCGTAACTGACTCCAGCCAGT